TTTTATCCAATACGTATTCCCCCCCAACCCCCAACCCCCTCTGCCCCTTGGTTTTCTATAATACGTAAGAAGAGATGGTTGCGTAGGCTATACACAATAAGCATACACGAGAGACACACGACACGACAGAAACGAAAACGCGATACTACTATGTAGTGTGTTGTACAATGACAACAACAATAGTCGGCGGGAGCAGAGCTGTATCAACGTGGTGATGGGGAAGATATACTATTTGCATGATTCTCTAAATGAATTTTTTTCTTTTTTTTCTTCTTTAACGTGATTACCAGACGTGTCATCGATTCTCATTCGATTTTCTCCTTTTGGGTAATCGAAGCCCATGAGTTGGGGCATCGATGGGTCACAAAGTATTTTGGAGGAATCGATGACAATTGATTGTCTGCTGTAACGGGTGGAGATGAGCTTTTTTCATTTTGGGGAATCATTAACATTATTGTACTACGAGAGGATACTTGAAGTTTGTCTTCTGTAAGGGGGCGGGATATCAATGGAAGGCCTATGGTCCTTTGTGTTGCAGCAAATGGCTAGTCAACGGAATCAGGTGCAGAGACAGCAGGCTCTCGCTCTCATGTGCAGGTTTGTTTGTTCTTTGCCTTAGACACCACACCCACCCAAACCCACCCATCCACAGATTCTATTGGATTGTCAAAGTCAAATTATCAGGCAGAATTAACAGTTCACAACCACTGAGATTCTGATATGTAATATCAGTATTATTACTGTTAAGTCTGTCTTCTACTCATGAACTGAATGATCCTGTGTATATGTACGATATGTCTCATTCAAGGTAGAGCCATCGACGTTAGCAAGGGCAAAGGATCTTCTAGAAGTGCTACAAAATTTAATGATCGAACAATGATAAAGCATTTTGACTGTTGCCAGGTGTCGAAGAAATGAAAAACATAAAACTGGTAGAAAGCTGCACGTTACTTCTGATGCTCTACGTTTGGATGGGATATACTGTACATACTTTATGGAATATGAACCACATTGTCTCTTCACTACGTCCTCCTACTTATATAGCCAGCAACCCTCTAACATCATCCAGGACATATCCACTGGTCAACCGTCGTCCCTTATATTTTTTTAAAATTTAATCTCTACTTTTGTAACCATATCTTACTCAATAACTCGTGCGACTCGTCGCTTCCTTAAGAATATTATAGTGTTACATTAACATTACCCGTACTATTGGCAAAGTTATCATTAATCTTAGTATATTATCCTGACTATCGTTGTAATGGTACGTGTATTATTAATTGAGCCGTTCAGTGCACACATCGATTAACTCCATAAAACAAAAAGTTGAGAAATGCGATGAAGTAATGTATATTGTAAATTACTTATTATTCAATGGCCAAAAAAATTGTGCCGTTTAATGGTGCTACTCTTTATTATTCAGGAAAGTTATTATAAATATAAAAAGTTATGACTATACCAAGTGCTTTGACACTTAAATTTAAGATTTTTCAAAAAGTGGAGTTAATCGATGTGTGCACTGAGCGGCTCAATTATGTCACTCTGACCAATGATGGTCTAATATGATGTTGCACGTGGTACAAGCTGGTAATAATACACGTATCATTGTCAATTTTTTCCAATGATTAAAATTAAGAGAAAAAGATTACCGGAATCGTCATGGACTACCCGTTAGTACTCCCATGGATATTATACAAGAAAATTAATCAGCTGTAGACTGAAGTCTTAAAGTCTTTGGGAGCATGGACGGGTTCTGTGTGCTTGAAATATCGTGCGAGATAAGTCCCCATGTAATTCTTAATGAAACTAACGCATCTCTCTCACACAGGGTTTACGTGGGGAGCATAAGCTTCGAGCTGAAGGAGGACACAATTAGACAGGCCTTCCTACCGTTTGGCCCGATAAAATCTATCAACATGTCATGGGATCCTGTCACTCAGAAGCACAAAGGATTCGCATTCGTAGAGTACGAGATACCAGAAGCTGCCCAACTCGCTCTGGAGCAAATGAACGGTGTCATGATCGGTGGACGCAACATCAAGGTAGCGGGACGTACCTATATAACGAATTTCCCGTCCCCGTGCAATCCTATCGTCACGCCGGAGGTCGGCAAATTTTTATTTAGCCTCTCAAAATAACGCTTCTCCCACCTTCTTCATTTTTCCATCTATCCTCTTGCTCCTTCCTCTTGTTTTATTAGTGGTAACCCTTTTGCCTAGTCCGCTCTGAGTTCTCTCTCGTTTAGTAGATTCAAAGTTCTTGGGGAACAGTAAATCTTTGAATGTGTAGAAACAAGTTCTTGTGACTACTTTTGGTATTCTCGATGGATTTTAATTTTTACTCATTTTAATACTCTGGTTTTTTGCACAATGAAGGATTTATCGTTTCCGACGAATCGTTTGGTGTTTTCGATAATATCAATTGTAGATTGTTCACTTTTCTTTCGACTTGAACGATCTGCTTTCACCAAAATTAATTATGGTTGCCTGCTAAAGTATTTTTCATTTTCTGTGCATGCTTCAAATACTTTCAGAGATAAGGATCACTGTAAAAGATTGTACTTTCGTATTTGCTTGAAAATCAAAGTCAGAGTAAATTGTACATGCTATATGTAAAGGCGAAAGTATTTGAAGTCCCAATTTCTTTCGCTGTAGTGTTGTTAGTGTACTGTGACTGTTAATAATTTAATAGAAATGAATGAAATCTTTTGTTTGATGTTATGACATCTAAGGCCCTCTAACAGGCTTTATCAGGTGTATTTAAGGAGAGTGAGACACTCTATTCCCATTGAAAACTGTTGACAGGTCGTCGGCAGGCCATCGAATATGCCGCAAGCACAATCGGTCATCGATGAAATAACCGAGGAGAGCAAACACTATAATCGCATCTACATAGCCTCGATTCACCAGGATCTAACCGAGGACGACATAAAGTCTGTCTTCGAGGCATTCGGTCCTATTACCTACTGCAAACTGGCTCAGGGTAGTTCACCTCATCGACACAAGGGCTATGGCTTCATCGAGTACGAGACTATGCAGTCTGCCCTGGAAGCCATAGCTTCGATGAACCTCTTTGATCTTGGTGGACAGTATCTCAGGGTGGGACGCGCTATAACACCACCTAATGCACTAATGGGACCACCTAGCGGAACCAGCATGATGCCCACCGCAGCCGCAGTTGCCGCAGCAGCTGCAACCGCCAAGATTCAGGCTATGGATGCTGTGGCAAGCAATGCCGTTGCACTTGGTCTTACTAAATTGGGCAATACAGCGCCGCCAATCCTTAATCAAGGTGAATATTCTTTGTATACTTATTTGTCTGTTTTATTTGCCTTTGCAATTGTTGGTTTCATCGATAATCTCTGTCGTAGCTCTTCCCGGAATAGTCAGACCTACGATAGCACCAGCTACTATAATGGCTCCGCCAACTGTTACTACTGTCGCACCAGTAATTCCACCTCCAGGAATAGCCATTCCTCAGACTCTCACTCGTCCACCAGCTATCATACAACCTATTCCTGGACAGCCTGTTGTTATTCCACCACCAGCTGTCGTTACGCCCACTGTGGTCGGAGCTCCTGTCGTAAGTTCTGCATCAGGGGTTAGTGGTACTTTACTCTGCAGATGGAAAAGGGCATTTTAGGATTTTCTTGTTTCATATCTAGATATCAGTCACGAACGCAGGGGGTACAGATATTATGAGGCGCGCTCAGGAACAACAAGCGGCTCACCAGAAACAACAGGAAGAACTTCAGAAAAAACTCTTAGAGGAGACTGAACCCCAAACTTTACAACAACAGGAGAATATGTCAATAAAGGGACAAAGTGCTCGGCATCTGGTGATGCAGAAACTCATGAGAAAGGTCGAGTCTCGCGTAGTCATCTTGAGAAACATGGTCGCCCCAGAGGACGTTGACGAGAGCCTCCAAGAAGAGATACAAGACGAATGCTCAAAATTCGGTGTAGTCGAACGCGTTATTATTTACAATGAAAAACAATCAGAGGACGACGAGGATGCTGAAGTTATCGTGAAGATTTTCGTTGAGTTCTCACAGATGAGCGGTAAGTTGACGCAGAATTCAAGTATTACGTGACTTTTTCGGTGTAATACATGTGATTCTTATTTTTTCAGAGGCTGAAAGAGCTAGGGATTCTTTGAATGGGCGCTATTTTGGAGGTCGGTTGGTCAAAGGTGAACTTTATGATCAAGCAATCTTCGACAACAGTGACTTCTCTGGTTGATTTGTCTGATGAAACCTTTCGGTGGCCACTGAGGACACTAAATGTCAGATTATTATTTTTCCTATGGAAGAATCCCTATACACGCTGGTTTACAAGATTACATCGATTCTGCGCGTCCATTGGTACCCATGGTATCGCTCTACGACCTGGACTTTGTTTCTAGTGTTACAGAGATTCACTTCGAAGTATCATCTGGAGTATCGATTGACTGATTTCCATTTGGTGATGATTTGCAAACGTTTTGATTGAGGACGCGGTGGAATAACTCGCTGTTTTATTGGGAATGATATATAAGATATGAAAAAAATAAAAATGAAAACGGACCTTGTTCACAAATACGTAAGAAACGATAATAGTCGTATCCACAAAACAATTCCGTATTGTGGATGCTAGTTTTTTTTTCCCCCTAAAATACTTGAGGTGTCGTCAAGATTTAACATAAGGGCTTAGTTAGATTTAAATGTCGAACGTGATTTCTGTTGATATACGGTGTGACTGAGCGTACGTGAACACAAAATATCCATGCGTATATGTATGTATAGCAATGATCAAATATTAATAAATTGTTTTACACAAAAGAATAATGTTATCAATTTATAGGAAGACTAATAGAATGTGAAAAAGTTGATCAATTTAGACTCACTGTTATACTACAATAACACTATTGACGTTAAACTTAGTCCTGCATGAGGACAATATATTCTTAGATATCTTTGGATTGCAATATATACAAACAGTAGCGGGACAGGCATCATTTCAACTCTACAAAATATTTTTATTCTAACAGAATATATGTTACTTTTTTATTTTTACTTGGTAGTTACTGCCACAGTCTTTGTATTCATCATGTACTGGATATTGTATCGGACCATTACTATTCTCTTCTACCTTTTGAATTGCCGACTTTTCAGGTAGTGTTTGCACGGGAGTTTCCAGTGCTTCAAGCTCAGCAGCTTTCTTTTGAACTGTAAGCATTGCTATGTAATTCTTTTTGACTTCCTCTTCCGTTGGAGGGTCCCTTCTCCGAAATCTAAGCCAGGCCATCCACTCAGGTGGTATTTCCTGTTCGTGATCCTCCTTTACCACAGGAACAAAGAAACGTTCCGCTCTCATCCTTGTGGATACACTAGCACGCGGTCTCTCATAATACTTTGTGCCAAAGTAATCCTCTCCCATAAATTTTCTAGGTCTGACCTCAGGTTTAATGGAGTTCACAAAATTTTTAAAGATAATCTCAAAGACTCCACGCGAACGTGCCATCTTTATGTTCGGTCATCAAGCAGTCAACCTAGTACCTGAAAACCAGAATAAAAGTAGATTATTCGAGCTGTTCTTATATCTATTTTTTTCTAATATTAATTCTATGCAAAACTGCCTTCACCTATGTACATGTTTAAGCACTACAAAAATAACCTTTAATCAGATGGCGGCACCATCGGGAAGAATCTAAAAATTAATTTAAAGAACATTTCATACTATTGTCTTGGTTGACAATATGTAAAAATACAATCTTCTGATGGATAAATAATACAAAATTATTATTATACTTTTAGTCAGACAAAACAGTGTATCCACATGTGTTGAAACATACAAATGTCAATGACAAACAGAGGCCATCCCATGCTGGCCGTTATGACGTCCATCGTCTTGTATAGAACTGAGTAAAACCAACAAATTAAAATGATTGAAAAAAGTACAGCATGATTCCTAATGAGATTACCGAAAGGGGCTTCTCTTTAATAGTAGCTGGATCGATTACGTAATCTAATAAATACCCTAGCCAAGAAGATACTGAGAGAATCCCGGAAGAACTGCCGGAAGTCTAAGTACACGGTTGACGTCGCTCCAGGCATCTCCAGCCGGTTACGTCTGGTTACGTCACTTCCAGGCGTGGTGTGTTCAGTGAGTTGCGTGCGACTAAAATGGCCGTGGATCTCCGTGGCTCGGAAGTTTATTAAAATATTCCGTTTAAAAGTCCACCATCAAATTGTGACCATTTCTTATCACATTAACGAGAATAACCAAGCGTCCCGACGCAGGTTTATACAGTGTTTCCTTTTAATTTAGCAAAGCGGTGTACAAGAGTTCAAAGGAAAACTAAAGTAGGAGCCGAACCCTCCTATGTGGTGAGTCGATTTTTCATCGATAATGTCTTTCAACGATGATGTACATACAAAGTATAGATTAATGAAGACTCGATGATTAATCGGGAGAGAAGAAAAAAGAGCTCTGTTTCTCATTCTCAACTCAAAATGGCGACCAACGTCTTTTCGACGCTCACACCTCATTATTGTCCCTGATCTATTATCGCAGATGGATAGACCTCGCTTCGTTTTGCGTCACTCCTTCGTTTTCCAAGGTCCTGAATTATTATCCCGGATGTATTATTAACGCTTGGAACGTCCTGTTTTCCTTTTACCATTGGGAAAAGTCATGAACGTCCTTCTGAAACATGGCGGTCATCGCTCAGACAATCGCTTGTCAAAATTGTGTCAAGTCGACGCTCAAACGACGGCACCTGTCGATTTGTTTTCTCCCACTTGGCTAAGGCAGATAAGATGTTACTCTTGCTAGTAAGATTACTGAGTCGTTAGAGAAACTTTATGAGATGACTCGTTACTTCTTTGGGTGATTTAAATATATAAATGCTATGGTGAGTTAGTGAAGATTGAAGAAGAGCATTCATTTGGAAAGGTTGTCAGATATGAAGAAAAGGCAAGATTCTGTAGCAGGTGGGAGAGTTAGAGAGTTTTGCATAACATTAAAAGATTGGCTCTTTCCTATTGAATCAAGAAGGAAGATATCAGGGATACGTATGGTACTATAGATACTGCATTCGGTGAAGCTTCTCACTGAAAATTCTTGACATTAAAAAGAAAAGATGTACATGGAATTTTGGTCATACTAGATTCTTGAATTCCAGTCATATCTCTTTAATTAACCAATGAAACTTTTACCCATTTGCATTTTTGCTCTTGAAGGGATTTTTGTAATACTTTAAAATTGTTACTTGTCATCTGTCAAATATCTATGCGGTATTCATAATACAGGAAGTGTTTAGTGTTTATATTGACCATTTTGTTTTATTATTTTTGGCCTCATTGACCGTGACCTTGTCAAGAATCTTTACAAGGTCATTGATATTTTAAATGCTTACATAGTCATTCACTTTGGTATCAAGCACAAAACAGCTAGAAAAATAATTATTTTGGCAAATGCACTGCGATTAGATATCGTTATTCTATTCCGTGAATAATATAATGACAATATCTGATTGATGTCAACAATTTTAAATGTTACATAGAGGTATTTACAATAACTCCTCTGGAATTTGATGATGAGACTTATACCTGTTTCCAGATGCGTAGGCGTAGATTAGGAATTGATGAATAATTAACACTTCATCTTTGAGAAACTCAATAGCATTTACATTGAATTGGACTTTATGGCTAGATGGTATGAAATTGTGACTTCCTAATAGATCGCGCTTATATTTTCATAACGCTGGAATTTAGCACTATTCGGGAACCAGGTATTAGATGACTAATACATTGGAGGAAAGGTATGCCTTGAGGCCAACATTTTTAATTAGTCGCCAGCTATTTTTGGAATATATTATTGGCAATTTATTTATAAATATATCACAGATGTTACAGATATGAGCATTTCATTATATTAAAATTCAGTAATTTTGTCTATCTTTGAGGAATAATATGAATTACGAAATTCTCTTACCTATATGATAACATTTTTATTGTATAGAATACCTGATAAAGCATTTGACGCAGAGTGTCTTATACAATTATCTGTTATAATACTATTTAAGAGATGGCATTAGCTAACTAGTTGTCATGAGACTCTTCTTGGTACATTTTCCTATTGAGATGTTAGTCTAAAAGTCTTATCAATATACAGCTCATTCATTATGTTTATCTTACTTATCTGCATAGTACGGGCACATTATCATATACTCGTATTATCCCCTGATGATAAAAAGAGTCTCCATGAGATGTAAAAAAACTTTATTACGAATAAGAAGTCTATTGCCTTGTGAGAAAACTAATGAATTTATACAGTTAGTTACTTTGCTGATTATATTTCGGGTGGAAAAGTAAATTAATATTTTATAATTCTTTTTTTGCAGGTTCTACAGTACATATTGTGAAGTGGACTTGTAGACCTCGTGTGTAGAAATGGGCTTCATTTACTCGGTGCGCATTTATAGCAATCTGTGCAGAGTACTCGCACCAGTAAATTAGCCTCGTAGAAGAGTTTCCTCGTCAAGATGCGGGAGAGAACTACTGTGATCCCCTGCTCAGCAGTGGGGATCTAGTGAAATAACAAAAACAACCTATGAGAGAAGAAGCACAAGGTTTTTCTTCAAATCACTATTCCTGGGTAGGATAATCATATGAAAGTTATCAATCCGAGCCATCTTATATAGGACTTAGTGTTGATTCGAAGGGACAAGATCCCTGCCTTAATTCTACTTTTCTAATATTCTCAATTTTTGAGAATACACCACGTAACGTTTTACTATTAAGACTCGGTTGTCCTCCTGAAAATCGCTGGAACGATTATTCTATTGTGACTGTGAGTGGTGAAAATTCTATTGCAAGCAAGAAAGGCACTAAACGAAGATGTCGTTCCTATCAAATCTTAAGAAAGCATTCCACTTCGGTGGCAATGACGCCAAGAAGAAGAAGCTGTACAATAACATCAAGATGGACTGTAGTCCTGAAGAATTTTGGGAGATGATAGGTGAACTTGGTGATGGTGCCTTCGGAAAAGTTTACAAGGTAATGGAAAATTTTGTTTTTAATACAATGAAACAACTTCTATTTCTTAACGCGTTTCCACTGTATAATACATGAATTAGAAGGTTCTTAGTTGGTAGAACAAATATTGTAAGGCTTCCGAATCCTATAGAAACTGCAAGTACAGATAATCCATGACAATCGGATTCGAAATTAATTTTGAGCTGTAAGAGCATAGAAATTTTATCCTTGGACCATTACTTTCTATGCTATAAAGAGTAAGGTTTCGGTGAATTTTAAAAAAATAATGCTAAATGATTATTTGACTTCAGGCACAACACAAGCAAACTCAGCAGCTGGCTGCTGCAAAGATGTGTGCCCTGGAGGGTGAAGATGATCTCAGTGATTTCATGATTGAGATCGATATACTATCAGAATGCAAACATCCTAATGTTGTTGAGCTCCACGAGGCATACTTTATGGAAGGAAAACTGTGGGTAGGTCTACGAATTTCTTTTATTGCATTATTTATTACTACCTGGAAATTGCAGAAAATAGAGGACGCCCACTCTTTCATTATATGCAAATATTTGCTAGTCAACCAACCAGTTACTAGACCCTTACTATTTCTTTATTAGATTTTTCTTGTATTTTTACACGAGAAACTATACTTTTCCACATATATATTGGCAACAGTGCCAGTTCTGATGCTGGACATTTTATTCAGATGCTCATCGAATACTGTGACGGAGGGGCTTTGGACTCTATAATGGTAGAACTTGAAAAAGCTCTAACAGAACTTCAAATAGCTTACGTATGTCAGCACATGACTAGGGGTCTTACATTTCTTCACAAAGCCAAGGTCATTCACAGGGATTTAAAAGCAGGCAATGTTCTCCTGACAATGGCTGGTGGCGTTAAGTTGGGTAACGTAATCTCATCCACACTCTAACGTTTACACAGTTGCTCGATTGCTCCTTGTTATCTGGGACCATTAATTCACCTTCTGTTTATCATTTTCTTATTACAGCGGACTTTGGCGTCTCTGCTAAGAACAAGCACACACTTCAGAAGCACGACACCTTCATCGGCACGCCATATTGGATGGCGCCAGAAGTTGTCCTCTGTGAGACCTTCAGAGACAATCCATATGACTTTAAGGTGTGTCACCGCAAGTACCTGGTTATATAACAATTGTTGGAAGTATCATTGAAAATATTTATTTCTTTCCCCAAGGTCGATATTTGGTCCCTTGGCATCACCCTGATAGAATTCGCCCAGATGGAACCACCGAATCATGAGATGTCACCGATGAGGGTGTTGCTGAAGATCCAGAAGAGTGAACCTCCCAAGCTGGACCAACCTGGAAAATGGAGTAAGGACTTCAATGACTTCATCGCCAAGGCACTGATAAAAGATCCATCCTCGAGACCGACTGCCGAGGAACTTCTGAAGCATCCGTTCATCAACAGAACTCTCGACTCAAAACCCATACGCGATCTTCTACTGGAGTATAAAGCCGACGTCGTCGAAGAGGAGCTTGTCGACGAGGATGCCGAGGTGGGTGATCGTACAGCTACTAACAAAGCATATTTAACCTATAGGGCAATGAGATCAGCTCGTTATCGACTAGATCCTTTTGCACGTTGGGAATATCGAATCGCGGATGGTTTCTGGCGATGAGATTCGAGGTTCCCTCTACATAGAGATATATGCACTATTCTTTAAATTACATTAGAGAAATGTGCAACAACATAACGTCAACTGACGTCAATTTATCTACAGACAATCTCCTACGTAATGCCATACATTCTTCTGCTGATCTATATCGGACAATTAATCGTTCAATGAGATAACGTCAAGTGGCACACTCTTTTTAATACACAAATAATGAATCCTCGCTTAATCCTTCACCGCTACGCCGTTAGGATCTTTCGATTGATTGATACGTCGTGAATTATTAATTGTTTATTAACAGTCGTATTTGACGTACGTTGTTACACGCTCGCACTACCGATAGAAGGCCAAAAAGGCGAAAAAACACAGAGAACAGTATCAGCGTATCGGTAAGCTGCTTCCGAGTGAAATGAAATTTCGTAGATGATTCGATATTTTATACATATGGGCAATTTTCAAGGGGGAAGCCATTGCGAGATATACGCTTCTGCCACGAAGCAATAACGACAACAGTTCTATCAGTATTTTACTTATTGATAAGAGATGCATGCTACACTTTTTATTCTTCTTATTAATGCAGTTTATCAGAAGCCCTTGGATTAGCCCCTTCTTGATAAATCCTGTAGCTAAGTCTGTCCAACTTCTTTGGCGTGCTTGTTCCGTTGGACAGAACGAGCAAAAGCCAAAATTGACAGTAGTCTTTTTCTAGTATCCCAGATTTATTTATTTATTTTTTTCAATAAGAATTAGTTCTTAATGGATGTTCCGTTGTAACTTAAGAATTTGGCTGTGCATGCGGCTCACCCGGGCCTCGCCAGCCCCATCACCCGTGCGATTGTCAGGTCAGTAGCTTTTGCCAATAAAATAAAAAAGAAAGTAATGGCAGAGATCAATCATGCCTTCGTTTATTAATACATAAATTTATCAATGTGGCGTGTTATAAATTTTTATTTATCGTGTTCTTGGTATACGGGAGATATATCTTAAGCGGCCCTCTTGCGCCGGGTTTGTCATTTCTTCAGTACTTAATTCTGACTGGTATATTCCAGGAGCAGCGCACGTCGCAGCTACCCCTGGAGCTGGACCAACTCGGAGATGACTCTGCATCTATGCGCAGCGACACTGATGTTAAGAGTAAGTTTGTAAGAGAATTATTTGATCGAATGATTATCATTTATTGCTAATAACTTCGTAAGTTGATTTTTCATTCAACGTTAATTTTTCAGTCATGGAGAAGGAAAGTGTTGTTGTGTCGCCCGTGTCTCCGAAGCGCGAGGAGAGTAACAAGCGAGAGATCAATCGGGATGGTGAAAAGGAAGAGAGGAACAAGAAATTGCGCAAAACTGAATCCAGGGAGAATATACCTGGATTCGTCGAAAAGAAGCAACAGGTATGATAATGTGCTGAAAGTAGTTAATATGCTGGCTTTTAATTCGATCAGGATGAATTGAACTTTATTGAGGTTGATTAATAAATTTCTGCGCTAATTTCAGGCACCCAAACCACCAGTTCCAAGCGAAACGAACGAGCGACGAATATCGAGAGATAAGGGTCCTGCGCCGCCACCGCCAGGAAGACAAGATAGCAAGGGCGAAGAGAAAGAAAACATTCCAAAGACTATTGAGAAACCCAGTGCCATGGAAGTAGTGGACAAAACAAGGAACGTCATCGAGAAGCAAGATAAGCCGAACAAGCTGGAACGTCTCAACGGCGAGAAGAAACCCTTGGAGAAACAATCCAGCCAGGAGAATGCTATATCCTTGGAAAAGAGGAAGGACACACCAGATAAAGATAAGGGGGCTGGTGTCAGAACGAAATCCTTCGAGGAAAAACAAAATTCTACGGAGCGACAAGGTAACGGTGACGAGAAACGGAAATCTGCACCGATCAAACTGGAACCGGAAGACACGAAGAAACCCGTCATCAGCAAACAGGCATCATTAGAGGAAAAGAACAGGTGGTTATCATTAAGAATTGTATAAGTTTATTTTCTTATCTTTGAGAAATTTTATTCCAACGCCGATACCCTTTTGCACTTAGGTACGATCGGAAATCATCGGTGGAAGAAAGACCCAGATACGAGAAACAAAAATCCGACGAGAGTCGAAGGAGCCTTGAAGAGAAACGTAAATCCGTCGAGGAGAAACTGAACGCCGTTCTCGAGAAGAGGATTTCAATGGACTCGAGTAAAAGAATAAGCGACGCCTCCATAGACACTCTGAAAAGATCCTCGGATTCCAGTAATGCTCAGGGATTTTCGGAAAAGTCCTCCGTCAAGTCGAACTCCACTGAGGACATCAAAAGCGATTTTGGTATATCGAAGACTGAGAGCCTCGCTAAGAGTCGCAGCGAAGGCTCCTCGAGGAACGACTCCTTGGAGAACTTCTCCGAAGAGTTCGTTGCCAAGACTGGTAATAAAAAGTGGCTCGTCGGCGAAAGAACTCAGGAAGATACCGTAGACAGGAGCGTCGACAGGGAACGTCGTGATTCCGGCGTTAACGTATCTGTCATAACCTCGACACCCATCCGGAGCAGAAGTGTCTCCAGGAGCGGTAGTGGCGATAATATCGTTGTAATTACTGGTAATTATCCTTTTGCATAGTCCTTGAAATAATCAGTTCTTAAATAACTAATTTGATTAACTGAAATTTATTAATTTTCATAGGAAAATCCCAACCGGACCAAGATATCCGTCTTAACACGTCAACGGTGAGAATAACGTCAGACTCCCCGGACCCTTCAAACAGTCTAGCCAGTAACGTCAGCCAAGTAACTGTGGTGACGACTCATCCTCCAGTGTTGATCGACGCCGCTTCGACACCCCCACCACGTAGACCTTCGCCAACGTCCGAAGTGGTGATCGTAGCCAACGAGACAAACAAGACTCAAGTGAACGAGAGTTCCACTGACGACGATGGCTTCCCCAGTCTTGACAGTCTGGAGTACGTACCCCAGGAACAGGCCATCGTCATCGCCGATACCCCGAAGAGAATCGGCAAGAAGCTGGACGAGTCCGAGGTCGTGATAGTGAGTCCGATCTTGGACGAGTTACAGGATACTAGTCACGTATCTGTCGTCACGGTTGGCGACGATAAGGAACAGGTCAAGGATTCCTCGATGATGGCGAAAACTAATGTCGCCAGGACAGGATCATCGCACAGCGATATTAGTTCGACGGAGAGATCAAGTTCCAAGAGCGATAGTGGAGATGAGATTAATAAAATGGGTATGACCGTTGCTGGTACCACGCTGGAGTCTACTGACGTAGACGAAATCGTCGAGCGCAACTCCACCAAGATGAATGGTCAGGTTCGTCGAGAGAACGACAGAGTACCTAAGCTTTCTAAGCAGAAAGAGAGTGTAAAGGCACTCAAGGAGAAGAGAGTATCTCCGGATAGTTATGAAGGATCCAGGTCACATAGCGATTCTGGTTCCACCAGGTCTCATACTCCTAGCAAAAGTATAGATAGATCCGATGCTGAATCGATTTCTACGACAATAAGCCAGGACAGTCGAGAATCCAATAAAGAAAATCATATAGGCAGAGAATCCAGGCAATCTTCTGAAATTGATGATGAGGTCGTTCTCAGGAGAAAACCTGATTACAATCGTGAGATTCCCAGGCCAACGAGAACGAAGGAAGATATACAGATGATGAATCTGAAAAAGAAGACGAGAAAGCGCACTAGGAAGTTTGAAATTGACGGTGTCGTTGTAACCACGACGACATCCAAGGTCATCTACGGGGACGACGAGAACGGCAAGGTGTACGACGACCAGATATTCCGGAAGCAAGAACTTCGTGAACTGAAGATGCTTCAGAAGATGGAGCAAAAGCAATTCCAAGACCTATCTCAAAAGGCGCAATTTAATAAGGACCAGCAGGAGAAGAAATTCGAGCAGGAACGACAAGTGCTAGAACGTGGTGCGGAGAGTGACCTAGAGACCCTGGCTCGTCAACAGAGACAGCAAATAGAACGTGCGGAGGCTCAGCAAGAAGCAGACCTCCGACTAGCTTCGAAGAAGATCCGCAGCGAACAAGAACGTGAACTAAAACAGTTCAGGGAAGGTCTGAAACAAGAGCTGCGACTTTTGAAGCAAGAGGTGGACCTGATGCCGAAGGAGAAGAGGAAGAGCGCTTTCAAGACACGCAAGGAGAAGCTAGAAGCCGAGCACGAAGAACGCGAGAAGTTATTCCTGGAAAAGCTAAACGAAAGTCATGAGACATCCTTGCGCAGACTCTCCGACAGTCACCGGGAGAAGATAGCCCTGATGGAGAGGCAGTTCCTCCAACAGAAGCAGCAGCTGATGAGGGCACGGGAAGCTGCCATCTGGGAACTAGAGGAGCGACAAATTCATGAGAGACAACAATTATTGAAGAGACAGCTCAAGGATATGTTCTTCCTCCAGCGACACCAAATGCTGATCAGGCACGAGAAGGAGTTGGAGCAGATGAAGAGGATGAACCAGAGGAAGGAGGAGGAACTTATAAAGAGGCAAACTGCTGAACGTCGTAACTTGCCTAAGAGGATTCGTAACGAGATGAAAGCCAGGGAGATGATGTTCCGAGAGTCGATGCGCATATCCATAATATCTTCTACGCTAGCCTCCGACCCGGATGCCGAGAGAGAGAAACTGAAGAAGTTCCAGGAGAACGAGAAAAAAAGATATCGTGCTGAACAACAACGCTTCGAATTAAAACACGCCAGACAGTTAGAGGAGGTTAGGGCACAGAGTGACGCCACCATAAAAGAACTGGAACAACTTCAAAATGAGAAGAGGAAAATGCTGATGGAGCATGAGACGATGAAGCTCAAGGAACAGGAAGAAGCGTACACGAAGGAGCTCAGAGAATGGAAAGCACAATTAAAGCCACGTAAACAGGTAAACTTTCAAACTTTTAATCGAATGACAAGAAATTACTACTATTTGATTTTATTATATCGATACTTGACAATCAATTATCCACTTTGATATTGCCATCTCGACCCAGCTCTAATATGACTCTGTATGGACTCCTCTCTTTACCTAATTGGAATTCTGACCGGAAGTTCTTATCGAAAATGGCGACTAAATTGAAGGAATTTAATCTGATGTTATAGAAGATTGAGGCGGAGCTGGCGACTCAATTGGAAGCCTTGGAGGCGAGATACAAAGACCACTTGCCCTCTCGTCTGTCTTCCTTCTCCTTCTCGAATTACGACATGCAGATGATGCTCAAATCCGATCCTTGGCAAATTGAGCCACGACATCCTAGATCCACTCCAACATCTCCGTCGGTATTCAGTATCCCCCGAGTGTCATTGAGATCAAATGGCTCTGACACCTCAGTGCGTAGTTCTCTGATCAGAAGTTTCTCAAAACCCGACGTGGCCCCATCCTCTCCTCGTAAATAATTTACATGTGGATTCGATCCTGGGCTACCAAGACTCCTGAAATTCTCCAAAACACCCTGGGATCATTTGTGTCGTCTTGTGTCTTTCTCTTTCCGAAGTATCGTCGCCATTCTTTGGGGATTTCCTTGTGGCTCTTTTCGGTTTCACGTGACATTTTTGTTTCTGTTGTCTTCCTCGACTTGTCCGCTTCTTCAGGATCATCATTGTATGTACCCCGTCGAGATTCGAAGGCAATTTCGATTGAGTGCTTTGATTAACTATTGTCTTTATGTCGTTTTTGTCTTTTCTTTTCTAATTTTTTTCTTTCCTTCGTCCCCGTGTGTTTGGTTTGCTTTTATCCTTGTTTCTGGCTATGCTTCCTGGAGATTTCTCCAATCTCATTCCACGTTATCGTCCAGTGTGCTATTTCACTGTCTCATTTTTTGTTTCTTGCCTTAAAATATATTTTTAGAAACTTCTCACCGAAGTCCTTAAGATACTCCAAGATATTGCGCGCGCGCGCGTGTGTGTGTGTGTGCGTGTGTGTGTGCGTTGCTGGATACTCAAAAAAGATTAGAAAAAAAAAGAAACATTGTTTAACTGGACCAATTGAAATCATAACGTGCCACTAGCGTGCTAATACCTAATTACATTTGGGTGTCATCCGTGCCTCTGTTTGTTTGTATTGTCAAAATATGAAAATCCGATTATCCAAAAAAGAACAAAATTTATACAGAATCAATTGATGGGATCGATTCGTGCATAAGGTTAGTTGAAATTTCACACATCAATCATTCCAGCCGAATAGCTCCGATAGATATTTCTCCTTTATAAGATGATTACAGGAATCTTTAATTAGAAGTAATATAGAGAAAATATTGATGATTGTTCTAACGTAATTAAATACTTTCAGAGACTGGAGGAGCAATTCGCTCTGCAATTAGAAGAGCAAGAAGCAATTTATGGACCCAGCGCAATACCACTTTGCCTCCCACCGGATCTACCGGATCTGACGCATCATACTGCAGGCTCGACGCGAAGTTCACTTTCATCCGTGAGCGAGGGTTAAGGAAAACGTCACAGTCTACGATGATTGCTCGAGATAGTGAGAACATGGATTTCAAGATTGTAGAGGAGCAAAATAGTCGTATTACGGAGAAACACGAAGAAGCTCTGGCGCAAAGCAAACGGAAAGGAAGAAAATGGAGCGAGAAAGAGAGAGAAAGAATGATAAACATAAAAAAAGACACGCAGAAGACAAGGACGAAATCGCGACATTTCCCTCGACGAAGGATAAACTGTGATCTTCTTCGTTTGTATTCTTGCTCGTTTTGTTAATCCGGGACGCCAGGCCTGGAGGATTTACATAGGCCATTACCATCGTATCTCGATCAAGCTCTTAAGTATCCTTAAAAAGCTATCTTGTCGAGGGTCCTGGTAATTGCCTATATGGAGAAACACTTTGCTATTCCAGCCACGTTATTTGTACATAGCGCAACGTTTCTTACACGAACGTTTACAATCGCGAAAATATATATATATATACACATATACATGTGTAGTATATATTGGTACCATCCATACCGTTCTTTCATACGGCCAATACAATATTCTCTACGTCGATTATATAGAAGTTCGTATACACTGTTATATAAATGTTATATAATGATGAGAAGCGAAGGGGACAATTATTGCCGTTGCGTTATCAGATCAACAATTGATATAGTCCATCTTGGCATGCCTTGTACGATAGCTCAGTGTAGGTTCTTCTGTATCCCTAAGGAAAATAATTTACATAAGCACAGGAAAGAGGGAAGGAATGAAAAAAGAGGAACAGAGTGGTCGGTAAATCGATTTTTGATTTCTTGCCTTGTAAATTATAAACAAACATAAAATTGATAAAAAAAGAGGATCCAACGCGTCGATTCGATGATATTACGTGAAGAAAAAAGACAAGGAGAACGCCGAGGAGCTATCGATTGACGCTCCAGTGGGAAATAAATGATTAATTCTATTAACCATATATTAATTGTAGAATGAAAGTAAATTGCGCTAATGCTCGTGCACATGAAAGCGTACGGTATATATTTTACATACAACGATCGCACTAGGAATCAAAAGTCAACACCAAATACGTATCGGGACGTGGGCTTAAATTCGCGCCTTATATTCCTAATTAGTCGCCAAGCCGAATATTTTGCTTGTTATTGTTTTCTTTTTTTTCTTCTTCGAGAGAATCTCATTTCTAGTTTTCTTTTTTTTTTTCTTTTTTTCTTTTCTTTTGGATGGCTACCCATCTCAGTCTTTCTTTTTTCTTTAATCGCGTTTCCAATTATAAGGAGAGCAATCATCCTGGAATGATCTTATCGATACCCATCCAAAGCTTTAAAGCTGCTTCTCACTGTACATAGAGAAATGAGAATTAAACTGCGAGACTCTAAGTACTTCTGCACTTACGCTAAATCGTCTAAGGACGACGGAAAAAGAAGAAAGAACAAAAAACACTTGCCAAAGTTCGTCGTTCTTTCACTTAGTAGAAAGCCTCATATTAGTTGTTTCTGTCTATAAAATGCGAAACTTGTCGATTGAGCTATCCCGTATGTATGTTCATGTACGGATACTTTCGTATTTACCCAAGAGACGTGGTGATTGTATCATTGTTTGCTATTTTTAATGAGAAGCGAAGAAACAAAGCAGAGAAGAACAAAGTTTCTGTCTTGCGATACAGTGACAACGTCTCTCAGGGGCTGACGAAGAGGAAGTATCAAAGGCGAATAAGCAGACGGGAGAAGGAGAGAGAATTTACCATGTAAAACTCGTGACATAGATAATCGAAGTAGCTTCCAAACGTAGGAGAGAACGAAAGGAGATGTAAAAAAAAGGAGAAAGAAATTTACTTTGTTCTTCCACCACCTAAAATACGCTATCACAACGACTATGTCGATTTTTGTTTCTTTATTCTTTTCTTTCTCTTCCTTTCCCTCATCTTGTTTTACTAAAGTAATTCGACCCTGCACCTAGCGCGGCCCTCGTCGAATCTAAATTTAATTTCATTCCAAAGGCAACAACCGATTGTCCCACTGAGTACCTTGAATCTTGTTAACAGGCGACTGAGAAGGCGTTATGCTGTTCAAGAAGAATGAATGTCCCGTGTCAGTTTTATTTTTTCGTTTTTTTAATTGGCCGAGCTTAATTGTCCTTTACTTTGTATGATATTGCCTTTTCCGCGTATAAGTTATTAATTTTTTTCCCTTTGTTAATCCCAAACCGCCCAAGACGGCATCCAAACGAAATTAACTTTATACTAGCCCACTCGTCTTCTGTCCCTTTTACAGAGAAGCGCAACCAACCCACCCACACATCCCTTTCCCTTCTCCAGATCGAATCACAATTGTTTTGTATATTTATATATCGTGGGTTATTAATCTGTTATTATAATTCTATACTGTTAAAACGCGTGAAGCGCGTCTCTTCTTCATTCGGAGCATCCGTCGTCGGACACTTGACATAATAGCGACAAGATCCTTCTCGTCTGAACCTCCCTTACTCGTCATCCCTTAAGAACCATTTATACCGCGAGAGCACTTGATCTGTTTTTCTGTACATAAATATTAAAAAGCTTCCACGAGAATATACTTTTTGCTCCATGTGAATTGGAAACGCGCCTCTCGTTCACCCAACGAGGTTTTCTTCGTCTGTTTGTAGATTTTGGATTTCTTCGTATTTTTTAGCTCTGTATCTTTAGGTCTGGAAGTATAAGACCTTTCTTTTCCGTAGACTTTATCAGCTACGGTAACCATTGTTATACCGTATTGAATCATTGTCAGTGTCGACTGCACCAGGAGCGATTATGAAAAGGGAAACGAGAGAGAATTATAATAAAAAATTGTGCTCTTGTATTGTTTCTAATTATTCTCAGGACACATCGAAGCATTAATCATATTGGCAAATTGTAATTAATTAGCGCTGACGCACCGATCCGATCGTTCCCATCAGACGTGATTTGTAGCACGCGGATAATTATGATGAACGATGTTTCTTTTTTGTTAAGCGAGAAGGAATGAAAGATGAGGATGATATCGAAATTGGAGTTTATTCCAACTTGTAACATAGATTTCTATTATTATTATTATATTGATAATAATTATTATATTATATTGCTCAGAACTGGATACGATTAAGTTCAACATAATTATTATTATTAATTGATTATTATCACAATAAAGTTTTTAATTGCAAGGTAATATTATATATGTTATTAAGAAACAAGTAATAAATATTTTAATGCTACTTTTGTCTTTGCCACGTGTCGTGTCCTAGATATTAATAGATTCTAAAGGATCCTTCATTGTTAACTGATAAGTTCAGGTAATTTGAGGCTTTAAGAGCTACGGTAAAGATTTGATAATGATCATGGGATATATGGTATGGGATAATGATGGGGATTTTTATAATTTATGTATATGTATATCATTTGTATCGCTGCATCGCAGTTCTACGATTCTATTGTCAATACGGTTTTATATCTATTATTTTATATACGAGATTGTTGATTGGTGAAAAATTATCGTCTATTATCTGTTTGAACAAATAAGGAAAGTTTATACAATTTGCGATAAGGGGCATAATTAACCACGAGCTTCCGTTTACTAGATACAGTTTGTATGGCTCGTGTAGAAAAATAAGACTAGGACGGTGATTGTCTCGCTTTATTCTCTTGTGGTTTTCCACCATTACTGGTACTATAAAGACCCAAGCGTAAGCGGGTCGATTGGAGACAGTAGTAGAATTGCTTTTCAGACGTGAGTGTCACTTTAGTATTTGTTTAAGGAAAAATGGCTTCTGGCGAAAAAGTTTCTCCTTCGAGAATGCGTGTTTGCGTTGTGGGTGCTGGCGCTGCTGGACTTTGTGCTGCTAGACATCTGGCGGCAGACACCGAAAGCTTTGAACCCGCTGTTTTTGAACAGACTAACACTGTAGGTGGTACTTGGGTTTATAATGAGAAGACTGGGGTTGATGAATTTGGATATCCTATACACTCTAGTATGTATTATAATCTGAGGTTAGTAATAGTCTATTTATTTCGTAATTGGTCTCCTAGTAGTTTTTAAACATTGATTGTGGATGTATTGTATGTTGTAGAACTAATTTGCCTGGGAAGATTATGAATTTTCCAGACTTCAGCAGACTCGGAGAGATGGAACATGGCTATGTTACTCATCAGCAAGTTTTGCAGTACTTGAGGAACTATGCTGATCATTTTCAGTTACATAGATTAATTCAGGTAGCAATAGTTCAGTTTTATGCACTCTTTTGGTATTAATGTAATATGCAATTTTAGCTTAATGTCAGGGTAGAGAATATTAAGCCAAAGGTGAGCTCCGATCTTGCAGAAAGTAGCAAGTGGAATGTTCGTATAAAGAATTTGAAAACCCAGAATATCGAAGAAAGAGAATTCGATGCAGTTTTAATTTGCAATGGGTATATGATAATCAATCATACATCAATTAATATACTAATACACAATTATTTTTAAAAACTTTTAATTCTAGGCATTTTTTTGAACCGAACATACCATCCATACCAGGAATAGAAACGTTTCCAGGAACGTTTCTTCATAGTCACTCGTACAGGAAACCAGAGGTATATTCAGGCAAGACTGTAATTATTCTAGGAGCATCTTCTTCTGGTACTGATATTGCAATTGAATTACATAGTCACGCCTATAAAGTATACCTCAGTCATCATAATGCCAGGTAAATATCAATGAAATTTTTTAACAAAACAAAACCAAAGAATAAATAAAAATTTTCTTTGCATTTCAGAATTACTAGTGTACTTCCATCTAACATCATTCAGGTCGACGCAATTGAGAGAATCAGCGTGAATCAGTTTTTTCTAAAGGATGGCACTTCCGTTTCAGCTGATACATTCATTTTTTGTACCGGATACAAATATAAATTTCCGTTTCTCGATGAAAGTTGTGGGATTCAAGTGGACGATAATTATGTTTCTCCACTGTACAAACATTTGATTAACATAGCACATCCTACTATGTGCCTTGTTGGGATACCTTTTGTTGTCATTCCATTTCCAATGTTTCACATGCAGGTACAAAGACATTTTTATAGCAAAATAACAATTCAATGTTCTTTTTACAAGCAGCCGATGGTATTTTGTTATTAATTTTCTGCAGGTGCAATTTTTCCTGAACCTCCTCAAAGAACGTTTTCAACTGCCTCCTAAGGCAGATATGCTTGAAGATGCAAAATTGAAGATTCCGCTTAAAAGACATGCTCATAAGTTAGCTAATAATCAGTGGGATTACAATAACAATTTGGCAGATATGGGGGGATTCAAACGTTTACCTAAGTTTTACAGAATCGGATATATGGCCTCACATTCACAAAGGTTAACAAATCTCCTTAATTACAAGAAAAGTGAGTTTATTTTATCAGAAGATGGTGAAAGTGTACAGATAATTAATCACTAATCTGTTAAATTAAAAATGTTAGTTTATCTTGTTGATTTTACTTATAAATAAAATTTTACTGTAACCATGAGACATTTAATTAAGTAAGATTACAATATAACAGATTATATTCTTTTTACCTAAAAAACTCAACCTATAAAATTATTAAAGCGACTAGAAGCCTGTTGCGCGCTCGCTGAACCCGCATTCTATAAATGATTAAAAAGTTATTTCATATTATCACATTTCTAAGTAATCGTGATCTATCAAATCGACTACATGTCATGAACTTGTACGGCAAGCGGTAAATCGGCACTATAGAGAAGCAGTGATCAAATTTCGAAACTTTTTTAAAAGAAAAGTTAACGCTAAAATGCATATAGTCAAAATATATATGGATTTCCTTTTCTAATACAGATAAATACTCATAATTTCGTATTTCTCGCACTTGCAGTAGGTACTTATTTCAAACTTTAAAATGTGAATAATTCAGTTTCAAGTTTCGCTGCTCTTCAGGTTGCAGACGGCAGCGTCCCCTCCAATTTTTTAGCGCCATCTTTGAATAACACTCGAAAACTAATAGTAATAAATCTCTTGAAAAACTTCTTAATTGCACCATAATTTGGTGATACATATCTACCTACTGGCATAAGCTAATAACTTATGCGTATACCAATACATGGTATGTCATAAATCGTCTACAAATGATATACAGATCCTATTTTAAAAGGACTAATGACCATAATTTCTCTACGAAATTCCCATTGTAAAATTCACGAAGCATGTTTATCTAATCGAATCAATTATTGTATATGTATCACCTACTTCAGCTATTCCAAAAATAGTCTCCTACCAATATAAAACTTTCTTCGGCATTTTCAGATCCAGACGATCCTTTGCATTAAGCCTCTGCAAACCGCAATATTATCCATTAATTTAAAAAAAAATCTAAATGCCAGTCCTTAGATCATCATGCGTCATTTCACGTATATCATTTCACATATAACGATTGTCCAACTGTATCTAAATTCATGAAAGAGATAAGAGAACGCTGCCAGCCATTCTGACATGGATATATAATAGCGATAAGATATATTATAACACAATCTTCTCTCCATTTCATTCAGGTAATGCTCTCGCGTTGCACCTGGATTAATTGCACGCTGGTGTAACAACATAAAGCGGCGGTCACAACTCCTACCGTACACTGGAGGATTATGACCTTCTCTTTTTCGCTCTGCTGACCGTAGTGGGAGTCCACAACATTGAGTTATATGGTAACAAGGAGTGTGCAGCCTGAGATGGACAGGACAGCTGAAACAGCTCGGTTGACCAGTGGTAAGCATAAATGTTTATTTTGATAGTGCACTCCATCTTTCAATTAAATACACTATTAGTCGGCTTGCATATCATGGCGATGATACTGCAACGCATGCCGACCAATTGTCAAGTTATTTCAATCAATCAAGAGCATTTACCCGTATGCTTTGGAATAGCTTTGATTTATACGCTTGTTCTATTAAGTCGATTTGATGTTATGGACGTTTTTTAGGTCGAGTTTTTTAAATGGGATTCATACGATATTTCTACTACATTCATATTACCATCTTCGTTACTTTGAGGATAGGGACAAAAGTCGTTTTCCTGGCATCTATATTGTAACTGTATATGCACTTGTTTATGTGGAGTCTAATAATAGTATAGTTAGTTTATATGATTGTTATTCAATCATTGTATTCATTATGGTTCTCGCTCCTGTTTCAGAAAGACGCTATGGTATTTATCGCACTGGATTGGCTGCTGCTACTGTGCTCATCGTCGTATTGGCTGCCGGTGGAATTACTTTAATTTTTGGGATTAATAACACTACTGTTTTACTGTGCATTTTGTTACCTTTGTTATTGATCAGTGCTGCTATTGCTCAATTGTTTCTATGGTGGCAGCATAAAAAAGCTGTGCAGAAACGCGAAATGGCTGCAAATGAATGGGTTTCTTCTACTTATGCTAGACAGGTAACAATGTATTATTTTTATCTCTCATAATTTTTTCTATGCTCCTGGAGATGCTAATGGACGTTCCTTAATGTATTTTAGCAATCGCAAACTACCGCACCGCAGGAAAGTCCCAGGAACAGCTTGTCCTGGTTCAGAAGAATTTCACAAAGAAATTCTACTCGTTCTACGCCGCCTCCTGGTTATTTGACTGTCGTGGCTACATAGAAATGGATATTGTAGATACTCTTAAATTAATGTATAGGATGAGAAGTTTTATTTTGAAATCGCCCCTGTAACTTTTCAATATTTTTGATAATGGTTAGTTCGGTAAATGCGACGTTTTATTTATTTAAAATAATATTCCGTTGGTTTTTTCTTGTAAAAAATGCGACAGTACTGAGATTTTGGTATTTTTAATAGAAATATATTTGTCATACTTTCTGTAATATACAGTTAATTGAGAATCCATTTGCCAGATGAAGTGTAAATGTGGACGGAGGAAAAGACTAATATAAAATAAAAGTCAGGCACAGCATTATTACTTATAATATTAATATACATATTAAATATGTTATTATTAATATTGTCTATCTTATATGTTGATCATGTCTAATTAGCATCATAAAAATTTATATAAAATCTATAATCAAATTTAATACACCTAGTGACAAGTAAATAGTCAAAAATATGAAGCTTGGCTTATGTATTTCCGTAAATTCATAGAATGAAATAAATTGCAGTATGTTATTATATTTGAAGATGTTTTATGTTGCAAGGGAATATGATTTCAAGTATGGCGGATTGGCCATTGAATGAAGGAACGTGGAACGCAGGAAATGGAGCAGATCAGTGATCCAAGATGGTGCTCGAAAGTACTATGATATGGTGAGCTCTGTATATTTTTAATTAATTTACATTTCTTCGTGGGATTTTAGTAACTTTATTTCAAGTTTTTTAATAGTTTACCATGTATGGTTTATATTTATATGTTTTTTATATTGATTCTGGACATATTTATGTACTATATTCAAGAAATATTATCGTTGTTTCGGAGTGACAATGCAAAGTTGAATGGCTTCATGTCAATATAAAAGGCTTCTAAAACTTGTAGATTTATTTAGAAGAATTAGATACTTCCTTTATCGATTATTCATACGTTATAAATTATTTATTTGATTGTCCTGCCCTTGAGTATTAGTCATATCCAGAAAATTCTTTTTCTTAACCTTAAGCATTCTTGTCAATTGGGATGCATGATCATTAAGGAGGACAGATTAAATGAATTAGATTTTACTGACATTTTAATTGAATTTATAAAGTGTATCAGAGGTTTAATATATTTTCTATTGTTGGATTGTAGTGTGGATCTCTTTAAGTTTTATGATAATACAGCAGCCGTAGACTAATTTTGTTTCTTTGTTTAAAAGTATCGAGTGCAGTGGCTGTGCGGGGAGTGATTAATCTTATTTCTTTGTTTGACAGTGTCGACAACAGCGACTATATGAGAAATGGTGATTTCCTGCCAACTAGATTACAGGCCCAACAAGATGCTGTTAATTTAGTCTGCCATTCAAAAACTCGTTCAAATCCTGAAAATAATGTTGGCCTTATCACTCTCGCCAAGTAAATATCCTATCAATGTTAATTGTAATAACTTAACTCTATGTAAAACTTAACATATATATTGTTTCAACAGTGTTGAGGTACTTGCAACATTAACCAGTGACGTGGGACGAATTTTATCAAAACTTCACCAGGTTCAACCTAATGGAAATTTAAGTCTCATTACTGGTATTAGAATCGCGCATGTGAGTATTAAAGTTTGGACTATTTTGATTACTGGAAGAGCAAATGGATTGTGTGGACAATAATAACCCAACCTATTTCATGTATTTGTAGCTGGCACTAAAACACCGTCAAGGAAAGAATCACAAGATGCGCATAGTAGCTTTTGTGGGTAGTCCTATCCAGATAGATGAAAAGGAACTAGTTAAACTAGCTAAACGTCTGAAAAAAGAGAAGGTCAACGTCGACATTGTAAGCTTTGGGGAGGAGAGCGTAAATCATGACGTCCTTGCAGCATTTATAGATGCACTCAATGGAAAGGATGGCACTGGTAGCCATCTTGTAACAATTCCTCCAGGTCCCCATTTGTCAGATGCTTTAATTTCGTCACCGATAATTCAGGGTGAGGATGGTATGGGTCCACCAGGTCCAGCAGCCTTCGAATTTGGCGTAGATCCTAACGAAGATCCAGAACTGGCATTGGTAAGAATATCTGTATTCATAATCATTTGAATTCTCTCCAAAATTCCCCACCAAATCAATATTATTTTTTTGTTGCTCAGGCTCTTCGCGTCTCCATGGAGGAACAGAGGCAGCGTCAGGAAGACGAAGCAAGACGAACACAGGTTGTTGATTCATCAGTAAGTAAGCAACCAGAAACCATGAAAGAAGCTCGCAATCAAGAAGCCATGTTACAACGCGCTCTAGCTATGTCTTTGGAAGGAGCCGATGATACCCCCGCTCCAGCAGACAATACTACTTCCGCTGCTGGAAATGTTCCTGACTTTGCTCACATGACAGAGGAAGAACAGATTGCTTTTGCAATGCAAATGTCGATGCAGGATCAACGTGAGTTGTATTAATTCACAATGGTTTACCTAACCTAACCTCGGTATAAACAAATCAGAAATCCCAATTTCTTATAGAAGAACCTGAGACGCAGAAGGAAGAAGCTATGGAAGTCGAAGAAGACTACGCTGCAGTGATGTCAGACCCTGCTTTCCTACAATCTGTCCTAGAGAACTTGCCTGGTGTGGATCCTCATTCTGAAGCTGTTCGTCAAGCTGTTGGTTCTTTACAGCAGAATAAGGACAAGGGCCAAGACAAGGAGAAAGAAAAAGAAAAGGATAAGGATAAGGACAAGAAATGAAAAGCAGACATTTACAGTTTAACATTATTTGATACTCGTGATCACTCTTTGTGTAACGTTTACGAACGCCATGGCGTTTATTGAAAATAATACATATAACAGATTTCTGATATTAATATTGCCTGACCTTTTCTATAAAATACAGTATATTTAGATAAGCGAAATTAGAGATATGACAAATGTAACGTGCTATAAAGCATGTTTACGCGACGCTTACGAAGCTCTTGCTCTCCTATTTGACAACTTAAAGTTCATAATCTCTGAAATTTATTTAATCATTACAAATGATCCGTAATCAACTATAAATGACCTCATAATAAATTAGGTGTAAATACTAATTGATGAGAACTTCAATTGGCTTTAGCAGGTATGCATTCAAAAAAAAAAGAATTGCATTTACGTTGCAGCGGAATTCCGCTATGAGGCACTACGTTCGGCGACGCCGAAGATTCGACAATATGGCGCCGCGTAAGAAAAATGTCAAAATCATACGCAAGTCGTCGACTGTCCGTTACGATAAAGAAAATAATTATCTACGAGGTTTAAGTGATTATCAGACGCGAGTGCGACGACGTGAGACCATTAGAAATGCAAAATCTTTGGCGGTGAGTCTTGAATCTTTAATAACACGTTGGGTTTAATGGACCTCGCCGTTCCCTGCTACCTGTTGCCCTACAGCTTCTTTTATTTTATTTCTCACTTTTCATCAAAGGTGCTTCATTATAATACTGCGTATACCTTTAAAGCCTATTTTGAAATGATTACTTTTCTACACAGAGTAGTGCTATTAAGGATTTTTTTAAAGTATAGAAATCATGCAGACCAATATAGAATTTGGTGCAGTTACAGATACGGCGTCTGTGATTTTATAATTACCTCATTCTTAGTATTCTCGTGAGATTTATTACAATATTTGTGAATTGACATTCGTCAGCAAATATGGAAGCTGGGACGTAGAAGTATATGAATCCTAGCTAGATTTATTTAAATACACATCTGGAATATTCATATATTTTGTAGGTTATCTATGTGCCATGAATCTTCTGCATATAAAAGTAAATAATACTCTGACCTTTCACCATGCGTTATTATCCAAATTCTTATTAAAACGATACACGATTATTATAATACGTGATTACCTCTATAACTTTCCGTTGTATGAAGATTTGAAAGCCAACGTGGGCGTACAAAATTATCAACAGGTTTCACTGTGTCGTTTACAGGTGGCGCCAGCGTTGCCGATCCATTTACCTTTAAACATTCACCTGTAATAACATAGGTAATTAATATTTATATAATCCGCATTCCACGGAGTAATTATCTGCAATATTCTTTAAAAATCCATCTGTTCTACGATCAGAAACACGGATCTGCAGCTAAAATTGAACACTTAAGAGTAAATAAAATACTGATAAATCTCCCATTTATTCATATCCCTAGTACCCGCGTCAAATAGCACAAGAAATGCTTACAGAATTCTTTTCTTGAGAATTCAAGACAAATATGGGACTATACAGGGAAGAGAATATCTTCTCCTTGCGAAGGTCATCCCCAAGAACAGCACAATATCCTTTCCGATTGCGCGCTTCAATTTAGTACATTCTACTGACCAATCGGCCACCTTGTAAACACATTTTCTGCTCCTACCCTCCCATATTCCACGCACCTTCTCCTTCCTGACTTGGCTCTCCGGTTGGGCAGTCAGTGGTGCTTATGTTTATGGTGGGTACTGGCAACTCGTCAGTTATAGTTTTGTACGCTTAGAGCATAGTGAAACGTGCGTTCTGCCGGTAAGGACCACCTTCTCTTTCTCTTTTAATCGTTCGCACAAACTCAAGCGTTTTACGCTTATCGCTGCCGTTCGGTCACATCGGTTCTACGATCCTACGACTACCTAATACCGCAGATAGTGACGGTTGTTGCGTATTCGTTAAACAATTTATTGTGTTACCTATGTATTTTACAGTGACTTTATTTAATTAAGTTTTGATATCTATTTGAGAATTTATTTGCTCCTTCCTTTGGAGAGCATTTTTCTGCAAGGTTGTATGTCAGTGAAATATTTCTCTCTACCGTGACATTTTTTGGGGTTGACATATATTTTGAAGGATTCTTAATAATTTCGTGACAGGTTTTTTTTTCGAAGAAGTTGAAAGTAATGTTTGAATAATTATCAGAGAATTTTATTCGAAAAAGGATCTTTTCGTAATTCATCGATACGCGACAATGTATAAACTTTTTGTTTTCAATCTTTCTATTCACTCAACTCAAAACTTTCTTCATAGTGCGAAAGGGACTGCTGAGTCGTGCTTGAACATTTTTTCGCAGTATTTTCCTTTATAGCAGGATTAGACGGTTTAAAGGGAACGTTTTACTCTATCGAAAATAAATACTGAGCCGCCAATCTTTCATATCATATTTTCATTGTCTAATTATGTCACACTGCCAATTCAACCTTTGTAACGACGCGCCAAATTGGCCAAAGCTCATTTGTAGTCGAACGAGCATCGATAGGCTTAATAATAGATATCGTCCTCCACTTTGTACTTGACTCGTGAGGACACATGCCCTTTTTTGTTTTAACGCAACAAAACAACTCCGGTGTTTATTTATTCTTTTACTGAAATGGACATCCTCGACCTTTTTCCAGACATCGATTTTTTATGCGAATTTAATTTTATGTCGATGACTCCGACTATCTACGTATTATGCTTGAAAGCTTACATGTTCAATTTCGAAAGTCGATTTGAATTTTGAAAATTTATTCAGAATCCTGAGAACTCGAAAAAATATACGTACGTACTGCACAATGCTATAGCGATGGATGATTACAAAGCCCGGGACTTCCCCTATGTAATTCCACACGAGCTATAGGGATGGGTGGAGCTAGGGCGGGAATTTGTAAGGCTTCGAATATCGAATTAGCGATCTCTCGAGGTTATTTACGAGGATCGATTAAACGAGTAACGATCATTATCGATTTATAATGTGTCGGTTATTGCGCAACTTTTATTTGATTTGTCGCATCTCGCGATCCTGTTGTATCCATTGTGCGATATCGAGCTCCTCGTATGTATTTGGGGCCCAAGATCCAATTGCTATGCCCGACGTGATGCCTGACGCTGTGAGCACGCCGTTCGATTTTCTCGGCTTTCACGAAGTCTCCTCTTATTTGCATAAGTGTATTAGAACGGGGTCGAGTCTGGAAATAATTTTTTTTTTAAATACCGACCAAAACCGGTTATTCGTTTGAAATGACTCGAAAGAAAAAAAATTACAAATTTATTTCCCGCCGTCGTCTCCTCCATTCGTCAGCCGCCTAATAACGTGTCCTTTGTAAACGGAAGTTGTCAACACGGCTAATTTCGACATTTCCGTCGGTACGTTTCGTATTCGCGATTCAATTGAAACACTTAATCCAGAACGATCGTCACGTTCGCTTGGCAATTATTTAATGGTTTGACGTGACGTTTATATTGTTGAAAAAAAAAGAACAAACCTATGGAAAACTCATACGAGTAACAGAGAGAAGTGCGGGATCGGTCTAATTTATTTATTTCTTCTCTCCTTCCCCCGATTAGTATTCCCGATGGAATCGGGGTTAGTCGTTTTCGTGTTTTCTCTCGGTTTCTCGGGATACGTCGACGAATTTATATGGCAAAAATTTCGTGTCGCGCTTTGGCCGCGCGGTCAACCGGGTCGTTCGCCGCGGAACGAACGAGTCGCCAAGCGAAAGCTGCGTCTCGCGGAAAAGGGACGCGGAAAATGGGAACGGGAGGAACGGTCGGTGAAACTCGAGCGCGGGCGAATTCAAATAAGGACAATAGAAAACGAACGCCGCCGCCGCGTCACTGAGAGACTACGAGTATTGCGCAATTCATAATTAACGCGCACCGTCGTAAGCTCACTCCCAAGAATTTCTTTGTTTTTCTTTTTCCTTTTTTCTTTTTTCTTTTCACGCGCCATTATGCGAGCCACGTGGGCGGATTCGTATAGTACGACTGACTCCGTCTATTACTCTTTGTTACGCACTCTTCGGCATCGTCTCTTCCTCTTTTGTTTCCCACATTTTCACCCTGCGACAAAACCCTCGAAATACATATTCATAAGGATTCACGCGTCGTAACGTAACAGTCCTACGCGTGCGCCGTACAATTAATTTCCTTGGGATTAGGTAAACTGTGCAAAAGAAAAGTTAATTATCTTGCCGTTAGCAATTCTCATCAATCAACGTCATACCAGTATCGGATAAGAAAAAAGGCTACTGGTTCAAATCATTAATTAGCACGAGGTGTATTAATTCGGAATGTTGATTTTTTTCGACCAACAGTACGTCTGTCCTTCTCTCGCTCGCTTAACTCCCCGTAAGTCTGTCTCTCTTGCACTCATGGCCGGTATAGAAAATTCGAAAAATCGAAAGCCTCTCCTAACTTTTCTCGCTGCTATCTTGGACTATATTATTTTGTTTGTTTGTTTACATCGTCCTGCGACAACTGTCAAGTCTGACAGTTGTGTCTGAATGAGACTGTACACCGGTTGGCTCATGGTAATACCAACGATCGGTGCATATGGGTACAGCGACAGGATTACTTAAGCGTGCCAAGTAATAAATAGCAAGTAAACGCTGGCTGCCCGTGGAATTCCGAGTTGTATACGTACAGTACTGTACTCTCTGTACTAGCGCGGCTCATTAACACTAGGCTATTGCCTGACACACGTTACGCTCGTGTAGCCACGTGCAAATGTCAACGCGCCTTTAGAAATAGCCTCAATGCAAAATAGCATCGATGCTCGTACCTTGGCCGGTTTGTTGCGCGGTTTTTTTTTTTTATTGGCGCATTTTCACAAAAGCGATATATGTATATATTTTTCTTCAACAACCTTGCAGAGAAATGGACTCGGGCCTTGATTCGTGATTTTTTTTGGAATATGTCATTTTGAGTATGCCAAACACTCATCGCGGAGTTCGACTCCGTACCGGACTCAAAATTGTCTCGTGAAGTGGTTTGCAAGTGGAGTTTGCAAATAAAAAAAACAGCCATCATGTACAAAATTCGATTGTACGTCGTGCCCGAGCAAGAGGAGACCGCTCTGGATTTTGAAAAGGAGGATCGTCCGAATTGCGAACGCCCGCTGGTTCAGATGCAGCGTAGAAACTCAAAGAGGCCTGGTGTCGTGAGGGTTAACGTTACTCAAACCATGAGCGCCGTCAAGACGCGTCAGTCACGTGACGTAACGGATGATCACGTGGTAAGGGATACGACCAATGGGAATGCAACGATGCCCAAGGCACCGTTGCATCGTGGGATGTGCGTGGCGGGTGATTTTGAAAAATTACCCGACAAGATGATCTTTGCCTCGCCGAAAATTCAGCGTCTCGCGCTAAATCTTCAGGAAAAGATGCTGGAGCGGACTGCGAAGATGCAAAAGATATCCGAGAGCGTGGATTGCGGTGTTTTGCGGAATTTTGAGAATTTCGGTAATAAGAAAGTGCCTCCGGCAATCCGACGCAGGGCTGACAACAACGATAGAAGTGTTTCGTGCAGTTTGACGCCCATTTCGGAAAATCTTCATGGAAATGGCGACGATGGCTTTTTGGCAAGTCGCTCGCAAGTCCTCGGGAAGTCTATGAAAATTGGACGTTTCAATAATTGCCCGAGCAATTCCAATGGCTCTGGGGATACTTTGGAGAAGGAATCGCCTGTGAAGATGGCGGACAAGGGAGTGACGAATTCTGTGATTCTACGAAGGAACAACAAGCTCAATGGCTACAGGGTGAGGAGTGTACGCATTTACGAAGAAAAAGAAAAAAAAAAATTTATTTTCATTTTTTGACCATTTTTTTATGTCACCCGATAAATGGCGCCTGTGCAATTTTTTCATATTGGGAACATGACGTAACCGTATCTCGCGCGGGGAATAGAATGGAAAGAGAATGATCCATAGATCTCAATGATAGATTACTCTGCGTACTTGTTCTATCGTTATGTACGTCTAGTGTATGTATCTTGTGCGCTGGGCTTAAGATTTGAACAGTGTTGAGCAGCATAGGGAACCCGCACGTACACCTTCAAAGCCACTCCCCGTCACGAGAATAAATTCCATGTCGGATACAATGGAGAGGCCTTAAAGGTTAAACATAATGTTACTATGCTGCGCCCGCATTAATCTCCGCCATTTTATATTTTCAAATAGTCTTTGTGTTCTTACAAAAAAATTACGAGTGGGTGATCGATTTTTGAAAATGGACGAAAAAGAAAAAAAAATTTTTATCGAATCGAAAAAAGAAGATGGTATCAAATTTTAACCAATGCAAATCTTTCTACCGGAGGTCATTACATGCGTAATTCGTCGAATTACTTTGTTTCATTAAAATTTTGTCATTTTACAATAAGGGTTGTACTTGAAATGTCCACTGGGCTGATTTTCATAGCTACGACTCTCGCGCGGATGCGTTGCGACATGAAAATGCCAATAGAAAATATCTCGATTCCACTTAAAAAATCCCTATTTGGATTCTGTTAGAAAGTTTCTTCCCGGTATCATTTTTATACTAACTTAACAGACCTGTATAACGACTGCCAAATATGAATCTACCCGTATCAATTCAGTATTGTTATTATAGGCTTTACATGTTTTTTTTTTTTTTTTTCCACGTATCTTATGGTATTTCCGTGTTGTCCCACGGGGATATTATTTACGAGTTTCCTCTGCGTATCTTTATATCCGCGTAACAATTGCCTTATAGGATTATTGGAATTGACTAATTATATTCGAGGTATGCTTAACCATATGCGAAATACCGTGTTACGAGTCATCTAAGCGTTGCGAGACTTCATGCCGGAGGCACGAAGAAAGCACTTCCGCTATCGACCGGTTTCACGTCGAAAGTGAAAATCCATATATCGAGAATTCTCCTGCAATCTTGAAGTCACGTGGTCCCTCGATTATTTAGACGCTTAAAATACGATCGTTGATTTCGTTTCATTCGAGTTTCCCGCTGTTTTCTTCCGTCCCGTGAATATAGTCAAAGTACGCCTGATTCTATGTGAATCGACCTGTACGCGCATCGACGTGCATTTCGCACACGTGACACGCGGATCACACGTCGTGTACGCAGCGTGCAGTTGAAATTGCACTTTCTCTTTTCTAGGACTTTTATTTTTTTAATTTTTCTTACGATTAACGTTCCTTACGAGATTCCTGCGACTGGCGACGTGCGCACCTGTTGCGTTAACCTTATTTGTATAAATTTTTCTTTCGTAAAGTCCAACCGCCGTTCGCGCATGCGCACTGGAATTCGTCTATGACGAATATACCTCTTTTTATTCAAATCTTTCCTTGATTATTTATTATCTTCTTGTTCCCACGAACGTACTTCCTACGGACTTCCGTCCGTGGGATCTTCTCCCTTTCCATGTTGGATTTACGGAAAGAGGTCAATTATGTAATCGAATGCGCAATTGTCTGGATCGCGCAATATCGAAGGATCAGAAACAATGGGAGATTTTCCTGGCTCTATGCGTTGCCTACGTATTTCGTGTACTGTATAGATATACTTGGGTCTGATTTTAAAAAAATTTCTTTATCGTCGTAATATCTCGTTTTGGTAACGAATCATAGCTAAATTACGATTACGATACTTGCTGCTCTAAATATAAACTCCTTTAGGTAATTTCCGTCTGTTTCTTTCCTCGTGTCTTATGCATTATTACTTTAAAGGTGGAAACTCTCGGAGGAAAGTAGGTTTGCGGGTTTACAGGTTTATTCTTATAGTTTGACCGTTACTTCTGTCATTTCTTGCATTACTCGTTTTATTTCCCATTCGTTAGGTAGGTCCAGCATGACGCGCGTCGGTAATCCAGTTTCTCGCTGACATTTTCACCGATATTAAGAAATTGGCCAAGGAGTAGCGACCGTTTCATTTCCGTTTAACTGTTTATTGACAACTGTCTTTTTTTTTTCCACGTGGCAAATCCCCGCCACGTGTTTCACGTACGAAACGTCAGAATTCCTTTGTGGTACACGGAGAGCTTATTATGTTTGACGATATAACATTATTATTGGAATAGTCATCTGCGAGGTTGGTAATTTTTTTGTTGTCATTTTTGGTGAGATATTTTGTTCGGTCTTTCGCTTCTCAACGGGCGCTACGAGTTCGAAGTAATTCACAGATAACCACAGATGTCATTCTTGATTACAGTCAGTGCTGAAATTGAAATTAAATTTTTTATTGTTTTATCGTTTGACCGTTTTTTGTTTTTGACGGTTAATATTTTTGAAACTCACCTTCGCCAGTTTTCGCTAGTCGCTTTTCCGCTGCGCAATTGAACACGCAGAGATTGTCGTAAGTCACTCGGTCACTTCCGCAAACCGGACGTAGGTCCATTGTGCACGCACAGACTGTTTGGCCATTTTGAAGTTTTACCAATCCGCCGGAAGTCATGGCCACGGCCAGTGATAAGATCATCAGTAGGACTGTTGTGCGCATTTTTTTTCTCTTCTGCTGTATTCGCTGTAAAACTTTGCGAAAGTCTTGTCAATTCGTTGGGTGGATTTTTAGGGCGCGTTTTTTTCTATCGTCGACAGAAATTACATGGAGATTCGTATTTACCTGTTTGACGAAACGTTTGATTCGAACGGCTATTACGTACTGAATCGAGAACAGATAATTTTCGTGAGATATAGCGACTCCTCAGCGATAACTCGTCGATTCAGTTTTATCAGGAATTTTTATTTTTCTTGTCTGATTAAATAACATTATCGGGCACCGATCAATATTCATTGAAAATCCGTGAAGATCTAAGTAATCTTGATCGATTGAAATTTCGAAAATTCTTTTGTTCTGCAGTCAGCGGGTATCGGGTGATTTGAACTTTTGGTCGAATTTTGAAACGGCCGCTGGGTGGATGACTGGCGATTTGTGAGGAAAAGGAGACGTGGAATAGGAGCGAAAAAAAATATACTCACGGCTGAGGCAACGCGAGTTTCAGGCTGTACGAGAAGTTTGAAGTGAATACGTGGAACGTAGCGGATTCCAGACTGATAATTTTATTATTTATTTTAATCTAATCTTATCAATTAACCTCTCAGAAATGTATGATCGATGGTACCATACATCTCGAAAACTCGCGCGGGGAAATTACCTGCTTTGTCAATTTCTCGCGTTATTATAACCGATTGTCTCTATGTACTTGGCGACGAAACTCGACCGAGTTTCAATGTTTTTTTACGATTTTTATTTCCTCATATCTTGCTGTGTAGTCGTTTTTTAAGTCTACTCTATAAGTCGCTATCTTAATTGACTATCTTAATTTTGAATAAAATTTATTATATCTTTAATAGGTCGGTAACTGCAAGTACATATTATCATACGCGTTCAGTCAGCTCCGGTAGATAATCACTGCTTTAGATATTGACTTTGCGCGATAGCCGCTAGATGTCAGCACGGTTCCCTTTATCCCGACGGTATTGTAGAAATCGTCATTATCCTTGGTATATCAAAAGCCTTGAGAGAATTGTTTACTTTTGTTTGCCGTCTCTCCTTTTTTTTAATACTTTTTCTCTTTACACCCTCTTTGACTTTCCTTCTCTCTCTCTGTCTATCTTTCGTCTCACATACCCTTATTTTCACAACACGGCAAGTTTCAATGCCAGACTGCAGCAAACGCCAGACACGCCAGACAGAAACACTCCACTCCAGACGCTTGTCGATTTTGCGGCTTTAACGGCTTTTTCTTGCGTTCTATGCAGAATGACTACTAGACCACGTTCAAGCGTGGGTAACTCTTTTCGTCTTGGGATTATCACTTACTCTGCTCATTAGCTCCTTAACCCTTGCAAACCATATAATAATTTACTTTATAGATCATTTGCCTCCTTCCTTGACATCTTTTTATATAAATGAACTAACCTATCTTAAATATCGTTATTATAAATTAAGGTTTAATACGACCTTTTAACATTTTCAGGTAAGTCCATCGTTCGGCCGCTCGTAAGTCTTCGTACCTTTCTTTTTCTACCTGTAACCTAAAATCCAAACTGGGTGCACAGTGAGTCTTTGCTTTTAATATTATTGTATACAAATTCCAATGGCCTTCCTCTCCGCGATACGCAGCAAGTACCGCAATGTATACATGAATGTCGTAGACGTAATGGCCGCCGCGGAGTGTTTGATCTCTCTGCCTGGTGTAAGGATAGGTACATGTATGTTTAAAAAAAATATATATATATCGACATCGCGAGGTCGTAGTCATGGAAACAGCCATGGCAAACGTTACTGTAACATCGTACGGAAATAGATCGGTCAATCTTCGTCTTTTTTATCGTCGCTTTATTGTAGCCACGTGACCGTCGGATGGTCAGGCAGACATTTTAAATTCGAAGGAGATTGCGGCGCGCTCATTGTGTCGTAAAACTTGGACTGCAGTTTATCAGTTTGCGCAAAATTAAATTAAACGAGAAATGGGAGGAAACAAATTCACGAGCAACGACTCGAAATAGTCGACTTGATAGAGTCAATAGAATCATGAACGGAAGTCAGCCGATATGGTTAACTTCCGGCTGAGTGCAAACTCTCCACAGAATTCTGATAAGGTTCCCCGATCCCGTCCACTTTGATTTTCTCGTCTCTTTTTTTCCTCTTTCTTTTTCTCTTCGTTTGACGCCGACACAGCTCGATGTAACGCGTGTCCTCCTTGTTCTTAATTATACTTTTTTAAAAATCTTTTTCCCGCCCTACAATTTCTCCTTGGCACTTTGCTCGGTGCTTCGAAACTTCGGCTCCATCCTGGTCGGGCAGGAGGAGAAGACTAATTAACACCGCGGCATCGAGAACCTTCGTGTGGAAAGTGAAAATATTTTCTTTTTGCTTCTTTCTCCTAGCTTCTACTCCATATTACGAGAGCACGTGCGCTGCTTTACCGGATGCTGTCTTCCTCCTTTTTTTTTTTCATTTTTCTTTCCTTCCGAATGAAAAACGGAAAAATCATCGGCAATTCTCGAAGCGGCTCGCTGTACGACGATGCCAATGAGCAGTTGGTGCGAAACGTCCCGGTTTCTCGTACAAGGGGCGTCGCGATTGAACCTCATTAAAACGAGTTTGCGTATTCCGTGATAAACAGTACAAAGAGATAACAGAGAGTAAAATTAGATTTCAGAAAAATACTCTAAAACTTAACACGTGCTGCTTAGACGTCATTACCTTCTCAATGGAGATTGCCTTTTCATCAGGCATATATTCGACGCGTTGTTTTGAATATTATTATACCGGGTGCACATAAAATTTATTTAATTTAATAAAGACAAAGGTGTCGCACGAACGCCCCTCCGTCGCCGTATGCTGAAATTGAGACTGAAGAACGGATGCGGTGAACTGGTCACCCTCGTTCAAGGGTGAAGAGGGAAACTACCCCTAGAGTGTATCCGCCGTTAAGCATAGCCGCATCCTGTGGGGTTGGCTGAGCTTCTTCCACGGGGAATGGAAACTGGAATATTTTCACGACATGTGTTGCGATAAGTGCCATATGCGCTTATGCGCGATCAGTATAGATCACTTATATTTTATTTCTATAAATTGATAAGGAGCCAGGAGGGATTGGTGCAGCCATTGTGGCATGCGCACGTGGTACTCACGGAATAGCTATTAACTAATCAGCCCCAATTAGGAACTTTCCGATATAATAATCTATATCGTTCAACGAGACCAACAGGCTTTTTCCTTGGTTCTTGCTTTACCCGTAATTACCTACTTATTCGCGGAATCGCTGATAACTTACCCTCAGTCAGAGGGGGGGTACCCTATTTGAATTCTTATATGATAAAGAAAATCGTTTAAAAATTGCCATAATTAAACAGAGCCATAAAGAAATTTTGCTTAATTAATACGTGCAAGGCTGAGTGTGAGTTTCTATATGTATATATGTATATGCAGGTCTATCATGCGGTAGCTGGGCCTCTTATTATGTTGACCCAAGTCGTTGCGGAAGGTAAACAAAGAAAAAGTAATAATACTATTTAATTAGTATTTTTTTTTTTTTTTCAAAATTTTTTGTCTCTGTCTCAAGCACCAGCTTCCATTGTCCACTGGATTACTTCAGCGGGCAATGGGAGCGCGCCAGTATATTCTAATACGTCCCCCCATCCAGTACCCAAGTGCTGGGACCTTTATCGATCCTCTAATTTGAAGTGTACAAAAGGGCCCAGGAGGTAGAGAACACGATCCTTATAGTATCCCACGAGATGCGTAGCAGGTTTCGAGATTCGTCTATAGAATACAGTGCTGACAGAGCCGGCGATCAGCGGTTCCCAAATTGACGGTCTATTTAAAGCTAGTCGAAACGACGCGAGGATGAAAAATTTTTTTTTTTTTTGTAAATTGTATGCTGAAATAAAAAAAAGGGTTTGTTGTGTCTTTCGAAGAAAAAAAAATTAGGTCGTTCAACCACGCCGCCAGGTCGGTCCTAAGCTCCTTGTCCGTGACGCTTGGGCCGTTCTATGAAAAGTATTATCTTATTTGAGAACCACTCGGTGCCAGAAGGGGGCTTATTCCTTTGTGTACGCACGTGCGTAACCACCACAGTCGCACTGATATATAAATACACGTGGCTGCCCCTTGCTCTTTCATTTAGAAGCCGCCATCTTCCCCACCACCGTGCACTGGCCCTTTGCTGCTTGCTTATTGCTGTCGTATTCCTGCTGTACCACTAATACCAATGCTACTAAACTACTGCTGATACTAACTACTAGTACTGGTACTAGTAACTACTACTACCGTTGCTGCTATATCCCGTAAAGTCTGATCCCCACGAAACAGGACTGAGCGGCGGGTCGCCTCAGCCACACGAAGAGACTCGGCGATGGAAGCGCTCGGTGCGGCGTCATTCAGTGTTTGAACGTCGTGATGAGAAAAGCTCGACTTTTTTTGTCAATAACAGTTTTATCCGTTTTACGCTCGGGCTTTTTGTTTATATTTGCATTTTCGTGTTTTTTCTTAAAGACAAGGATTGAAATTTGAATGTTTGACAGTGCTGTGTAAAACTTGTGTTGTTTCCCTTACGGTGACCTCTGACCTCTGTGCTCACCCTGTGTCGCTAGCCCCCACTATGCTTCGGACATCAGCCGAACATTTCCGACCATACACGAACACGGATCGCCAGGTGCCTTATTCGGGATCGTAACTTCCTCTTGTGCTATTCTCGATTTATTCATTTAATGTACACGGAACCGTGCACAAGCGTTGTTGTTGCTACGATGAATCCCTAAGGAAATGATAGTCGGGGGATTCTAACCTATAAACACGAGAGTGATGTAACATTCTGATGGATTGATTTCATTTAATGTAACAATTGTTGCTATTCGAGCGATAAGGGATACTCGGGAGTTACCAGGCACGAACTGTTTTATTCGCGCGGTAAAATCGAGTGTTTGAAAACTCGCCAGTTTTTTTTTTAAATTATTATTATCAAAACTTGGAAACTATAAGGGCGTTTTGTACGCATACGTGACCAAGGAATCGGGATGAGATTATTGATTCTGACGATTGAGACTGATGCTTTTTGAATTGTGTTTTGTTTATTTATTTTTTTCGGTTAATAACGATTAATCAAATATCGTATGTGACACACGTGCACCTGCCTTCACACCTGGGATCGTACCGGCTCTCTCGCCATTGAAACGGAAAACCTTAGAGAGTGACGTCATTACGAAATCACCTTGTGTCGCTCATTGCGAACGAGGTCGGAATACCTGCCTGCTGTGCCTACCTCTATTCGCTCTTTCTCTTTCTCTCTTGAGCGAGACTTTTGAATCTACCCATTCAAAGACCACCATTCAGATGTCGTTTGACTAGCGCGCGAGGATCGTCGGATCTTTTTCATTTTTCTTTTTCTTAACCTGATAGGCAGTGATAAGCGTTTGACGTTATCGTCGGTAACTTTGATGACTTTCGAGTTTGTGTAGTTTTTCTTATCTTTGCAATACTAATTTGAATCGAATGTGTGTCTTTTTCGAAAATTGACATTATCCGCGTCTACGGTACTCGTGCCAGGAATTATGTAATGTGGACTACGAATAACTTGACGTGTGATGTTTAGTTTTTTTTTTTTAAATTGTGAAAATTATAAACTCCTGCGAATGACGTTTGCCAACGAACAGTGAAGAATTTGTGGTGCGACGTGCGATGAAGAAAATTGTACTGTTGTTCGTGACTGTGGAGTTTGTCAGTTTTTCTCAGTGAAATCGAAAAGAAAAAATTGTATATTTCCATCTGCGCGCGTCACGTGCGTCTCTTCTTATCAAAATGGACTCGTGCTTTCCGCCCCTGGCGGCGCTCAGTTTAAGAGATACGAAAAAATCGACAACCCTCGCCGTGAGAAATCGTCTTAGCAGCGGTGACAATTCACCCGGCACCGGAAATCCGGCTAACAGTGTCTGCCCTGGAAAAATTGAGATCTTACAGGATCTCGATCTTTACTACATACGACAGATAGCCCACAATTTGAAGGTTAGACACCTGACACCCGTTATACATTGCTATTATATTATATACGGAAAGCTTGTGAAAATCTTCAGGTCGGACGGAGACAAAAGAAAGAGAACCCAGCCTACGGCCATACTTTACTAACGGGTGGCGCTAAAGTTTTGACAATTTTCACAACGATCTGTCTTCCTTTTTTATTTCTTCTCTATCGTCAAAGTTTCTCTCCGTTTGCGTCTCGTAAATATTGAGATATTTTCTATTTGACTGATGTCTCTTGCTTGCGACCCAACATACATGGGAATTAATGGAACGCGGTAGCACATGAACGTTGACCAAGTCAATTTTTTTTTCTTTATTTATAAATATTGTACCATTCAATTAGCTGTCGGTTAGCACTTCGTTTTTTGATGATTTTTATTTTTCCCCGTGACAACTTTAGCCATGCATTGCCCCCGTGTGGGATACCTGGGCTACCTTGAATTTAACATAATACACGAAAGCCTTTATTCGAATTCAAACGACGTGCCATTTCGCGCTGATGAATTTTTAAACGACGTTTTCACTAGGTACCCTCTCCTTCGGCGATGACTGTCGAATGACGTGAGATCATCGAGTGTTTCACGAGAAGACTTGACCAGCAGCACACCCATTCCGAGTAACGCGCGTCGATTGTCTCTTTTCTTTCTATCTCTTTATTTGCCAGCTCTCTTCACCTTCCTCTCGTTTCACTCGTATTCGTAGATTTTCCTTCTTTTTCATCTCTCTCTTCATTTCTTTTTTGTATCGCTCTCAGCTACCGAGAAAAGCACCGACTGTAATTTCCACGACTCGGCGATACGTCACGGGCACCAGGAGGACTGGTAAAAAAAAGATACAAAAAATATTGCGTATATTAAAAAAAAAAACAATTTTCGTGCTATCTTTGTCGCTCTTCGCCGCCTTCTTCCTCCTGCACCGTTAGGTTTTCGCTGTTACACGCCTCCGCTTCTAAAATCGTTTGGACAGTCCAAAGCGCTCTTCTGGCCCCAAGCACCAAAGAGAGTCCCATCCCAGGACCCACGAGACCCTTCGGGGCCCTTTTCCGTGTAATTCCGTGAAATGAAATTGAACCCTCGTCCCTTGACTTATATCGGTTCCCAACGTCGTCATTATCATCCTCACTAGCTAACACAGCCATTCTCCATGGGACCCAGGGATCTATCTGCTGGACCACCACAGACTTAACCTGGACCCCATGGAACGAATGATGAAAATCACGTAGTCCCACCAAGACACTTGACGCTCTGACATTATCCCTCTGAAATGAATTTTTGAAAATTACATTTATTTTTTTTACTTTTATCATTAACTCCCTATGTTATTTGTCCGATTCGGTTCTACGGCTTCTACGCTCTCTTGCTTCGTGCCGCTATATATATATCACGTAAGTGCAGGCCAAAGCAGTCTAACGAATCCAAGGGACAGAGCTTCGCATTGTGGTACTACGTGGATCAAGCGAAGAACTCGTACATGCGTGTAAGGCGAATAAAAAGAAAAATTCGTACAGCTGTGCCGGGACGATAACTTTGTTTCTCGTCTTTTTTTTTTATTTCTGCTTCTTTTTATTCTATTCTATTTTATTACTGTCCAATGAGACTGTGCTAAAACAAAAAAATTTATCAACTACCGACAGATGCAGCCATTTGACTTCGGTACTCGAGTTCCTTCCACTCGACCCTCTTACTGCTCATTGCCGCTATTACTTTTATCAGAGACTCTTTTTAACACACAATCGCACGTATGTCACAATTAATGTTTTATTTTTGTGCCTTATCAATTTTTCAATACGCGTGACGCGCAGTTCACGAAAAGGATTCTTCTATGTCGGCTGGTAGTAACGGGTCTCTCTCTCTCTCTCTCTCTCTCTCTCTCTCTCTCTCTCCCCCTCCCTCCCCCCTCTCTCTCTCTATTCCCTTCATTCGCAACTCATCCAGGGTGCAATACCGGTTACAGGGATTACTTTACGTACGTAAAGCACCTGAGCCCAGTGATTCTCATTGTTATGTCAAATGCACTATACATTGTAGCAGATTAATTTATATATCATTTCATTTACTTATCTCCGTCAACGCAGTCGGTACACGATAACGATATTGGGTTCAGTTACATGTATGCGAGTGTATTCGTCAACTGGAGGACTTATTATTTCGGCCTTGCGCAATTTTTTCTAATTAACTTCACTCGCGGACTCTCGCACGCACGCTCGTCATGTGTCACGAGGCTCTCTCCTATTCTCGCACGCTTAGCTTTCACGCATATAGATATATTTGCGGTCGTTAATGGATTTGTTCTCTAGTTAAATTAATGAAGTTTTTTTTTCTCAACGTTTACGTCCATCCCGTTACGTAACTCTGTGAATTAAATCGTTTGACTCTCTTTTTTTTATGGATTGCTCTCACTCCTCAGGCTTTCGGGATGTACTTTTGTCATCCCCACTTTTTTTACACCTGTGGGAATCGTGTCAACCAGTCAAAATCGAGGACGTCGCACTTGACTTTCTGTCGACTGTGACATTTTTGCATCGAACGATTATATTGATTACATCGTGTCAGCTTTTTTCGAGATTTTTTGGGCGGAATTTATTGGTAGAGTTGAGTGACCACGTTTCTTTGTAATCCCCTGGAACCTCGTGGCGTAGGTGTATATATATATATATATATAGCATAGGTATAACGATGGGTATATGGAGTTTTGCATACCTGACGGGATTAGGTCAATTTTCATTGGTAACGCTGATCGCGACTATAGAAACTAACAGAAGGTAACAGCTCGTAGAAACGCGGGTGACGTTTCAAATGTCATTTCGTGGGCGAAACCGGTTCGCTCACCGTTTAAAAAGTTGAGTTTTTTTTGCTTAAAAACTAAAATTCCATTGCACTTTATGTTCGTGGATTTTGTGACAAAAATTTTTTTCTTGTTATGTAGTTTCAAAATTTTTCGTTTCGATCGACTCTCTATATATTGTTTATGTTTTATAGGCGGGACCACGTTCGATATTGCGTTGCGCATTATGCGCTTCGAGTTGCGCAAAACGTGCTGCCCTCAGAAAGCACGTGGTAGTAATTGCGTATTCTCTCTCTCTTTCTCTCTCTTTATCTATCTTTCTCTCTTTCTCTCAAGCTCTCTCAATCGTTTCTGAGCTATTTTCGTACGGACGCACAGCTGGTAACAGTTGCATCGCTTGCAATATAGGAGCGAAGCGCACCTGCGAACAGCTATACCATGCATTTTCGAAAAATCCAATTTCCCTTTTGTACCATAGAAAATAGCAAGTGCAATTACTGATGGCAAAGGGTTTATTGTGGGATGAGTAATTTAAAGAGAGGAAAACAAAGAAAGACAAATCTCTCGGATCGTCCGTCAGTCGAGATAAAAGCCAAGAAAGGCAAAAAGATTAAAGAAAAATCCATAAGAATCCGGCGGTATTGAGTTTCCCTGGCGTATTTTTGGATCCGAAAAAAGACGCGACGTCGATGCATAATTTTGGAGTAAGGCATTGGAGGTCGGGTGGACGGGGAGCGGGACGTATTTCGAAAAAAAAATAGTTAAACTGGTTTTAAAAGTCCGTGAAGGGTAAAAAAAGAATTACTCGTTATTTCTATCAACACCCACTTGTTATTCACAACCGACACTTCGAAGTCGCTGTACGATTGAAAGAGACAAAAATAATAAAATAAAGGAAAAGAAAAGAGAGAAAAGAAGCTCAAATCCAGACCCCAAAATAGTGCTTGGTTCCTGGGCTTCGTGAAATATCGATACCACTTCTACGTGCCCGTGTTACGTTTCCTCCAGTCTAGATATTCATTTGCTCCTATTGAATTTTCTTTCTCGCCCAGCCCCTTCCTGCCCCCCTCCCATCCTTCTAATTAATGTTTTTTTAACAAAAGTGATGGGGGGAGGGGGAAGATACTGATAAAACATCAATTTGCCATCTCACGCGTCTAATAATAACGCTGACAAGTTTTGAACTGGTCACAGGACACGTTACGCGCTGTATATGTATACACAGAAGTGCCCCTATAAGCTAGCAGGTCGTTGGAGAGCTTACGAATCTACATATAACGCGTCGCGTAATACCGCGATGGGATCGATCAAGGCTCGTTAACGATAGTCAAAGGTCAATTGGACCCCACGTTACGTATATCCATATGCACGACCTACGAATGGTTGGATGCACGTGACAGTTGGGGAAAAAAATGTTTTTGTAAGAAAAATTATATTGAAAAATGGACATTTTTTCGCAAATTCCAGAAGCGATTATCACGCGCGAGCTTTCAGGCGGATGGTCTAAGGGCTGGCTTTCATTTAGTCTCGTTTCTCCTTCGCGTGGTGGTGGGGATCGTCGCAGCAATTGTCAGAGTTGAGAGGGTGAGTTTCGTAAGGGTAGCCGAGCAGGATGGGTCGATATTCCCTGGCGCCATTTCCCCACCACCGTTCACCACCAACTACCCCTACTTTCCGAGACTCCCCTTTCGCCGACCTACCTAACCTCTATGTCTACCTACTACCCCTCTCAGGTTATCCCATCCATCCACTCCCTTCGGGTCGTCAGTGCTCGTGCTTGATTCTAGACGAAGCGAGCAAGGTATAATACGGACGGGGTGTGTTGTTTCTGTCTGGGATGGAAAGGCGTCGGCGTCGCGGTGCCTTATTCTCCTTTTAACACCCTTCATCACCGTTACGTTACTTCCGATCGCACAACTCTACCCTCTCGACTTGGATTATACCTGGGTAAATTCGAGCTCTGGGGGGTGAAACTCGAGATTTTTCCCACTTCGCTAACTCTGGAGCGTCGCGACGCTCTTGCTTTAACTCGGTCGCGTGGAAACTGATTTTTTTTTAAATATATTTTTATGCCAATTTTTGTTCATTCCCTTACACAACTCTTTCTTTGGCTGCGTCGTTCAACCTTTCCATCAGCTGCGTCTCGTTTTAAACGTTGTATAGGTAATATGGTTCTGTTTCGTTGAGGGTCGTTACGTTATCATTTTTATTTAAATTTTTTTTTTCACTTTTTTTTTTCGTTATCACTGTGCGTCAACTCATCAGAACTCAACCATGTCGAGTACACTGATACTCTCGAAACCCTTGAAGAAGGTAATAATAATTATCATTAAATACACGTAAAAGGTTCACGACGAAATATTCTTAGCCGTCATATAGCGATCTCGTGTTACGCGAGCGCTATAAGAAAAGAAAAAAAAAATTCCATAAATTTTCATTATGTCAAAAATTCTCAAAAATATTTCATCCACAAGGAAAATTCGAAATTTGGGCAAAAATTGAATTCTGAAAATTTACTCCTACTAAATCATAGTAAAATCTTCTCGGACTCACCATAGACCTGTAGTACCTGTCGTTTGACGTGACTGTAGACATTGAAAAAAAAAAAAGTATTCACTAGGCCAACGGTGAAACGTTTCGTCAGGGTTCCCCTTGTACCTGACCGCAAGCGTCTCATTAGTAACTCGATTTCAATGGCGCAAATACTCACGCTGCTTTGACTGGTGCAATTCGATGCGTTTTCTCAATGCACTTACCCACCTTCCCTTGTACCATTACTATAGACTTATGCACCATATATATATATATATATATATATATATATATATATACCGTACTCATTATACCATACGTCATTATGGCACTTATGACGCTCCTATGCTTTAATGCAATTTACGAGTCGAGGCGACTGGCCTCGACACAATGCATTACTAGGCACAAACATTAAAACAATAAAACGAACCATAGAAACAAGCTGCATTATTTTACTAAGGTTTGCCTATGCACCAAGTGGCACGTATAAGACGACGTTGCACGTAAATGCAAGCTACAATAGAATATGCACGCGTGTCAATACCTTCAAAGTGCATGGGATTAGATGGAAGGAATACATGCTTTGGCAGATACGATATAGACAAAATGTAGAACGCGCACGTAATACGTTCACTATGGGGCTTCGGTTATACCTTGCTCTTCGACACGTAAGAATTATGCGACTCGAGTTCGATGTACTTTTGACATTTTCGAATTGTCAATGGAAATTTTTTTTTCCTTTTTTCTCTCATCTTCGGCCTCCTGTCCGAACGTCTTTCGGCTCTTCTCACAGGGTTACTGCACTCTCCGACGCTAATGTTTCACTTGCCGCACACGCCGACACTCACGAATGTCAATTTCCGCGATGCGCCTGCACGCACTGTGCGTCGGGACTTGTGTATGTATATATTTGGCACTGCTGGTACAATATCTATTTACTATGCCACGCAAATGCACTCGAGAGTTGCAGCCAGCTACCGAGAAGAGTGCATCACTCGCTTCTCTTCCACCTGCGTATTTATAGGCACTCGCTACTGCGCGCACTTTGGCTCTGCGTTGATCCTCTTCTTCGAAGTGCAAACCTCTGTCTGTGCGGATCTAGGAATTGTCGATTTTTAATAGTGCTAATATTATGTGATATATATTTTTTATTTTTAACAAGGATACTCGAGGGTATTTTTTGGGATTTTTTCAACTATTACGGATACGAGTGAAAATTCTTTTTTTTATTTATTAAACAAAAATTGAACGTAGATTCACGGAGGTCTAAGCCGGTTGGTGTCTGCTTTGTGCGGGATTGGATTTTTGTAGCATTCAAAAATTTCCGCCGATTTATGACGTACTAGGATTTTGACAATCGAGCCGTCAGATCTGACAATGATCCAATGTCAGATAAGAGACTGATCTATGGAGATTTTGTCTACCGCGTAATGGTAATTCTATATCTGTTCTACTGTCGTTCGTTGTGAACGTGACTTTATGCTTTTTTTTTGGTATACTAACTATTGTTATTCACGACGTATCCGTACACAGGATGTATAACCGTGAATAGACGTACCTGATAAAAATGGTGAATAGGTAGTTTCGATTTCTTTTTTTTCCATCAAGAAGCTAACAAAGGTCTGGTCTACTTAAGCATCTTATTTACAATTCTGCGACAAAGTCGCCGACGGTGGTCGCTGATGGTAGTGCAAAAGTGAAACTCGAAATTGCTATTTCTAATTGTCAGAGTATTCGGACTCTTGCGTCGAATAAGGCTGAGGGTAACGGGAGATGTGACGCGTGGCAAGAAAATCGAGACGAAGAGACACGCGGGCGTTGGAGCTTCTTGGCCGTATCGAAGAAATCGCTGATTTCAAAGCACAAACTGTAATTAATACTCGCGTAGCGCGCGAACTGAACAAGGATGGCAATAGCGTACAAACGTAATGGAAATTGAAATCGCGCGATTTGAAATCCGAAACTGAGGTGTCGACTGTCTCGTATGATTTTTGAGTTTGCAGGTTTTTTTTTTTTTTTTTTGGCTGACCATTGCGAATTTGCCTTGCGTGTCGGCTACACTGTATTACTTATTACTATTGCCATCTACTCTATGGTATATATCCTGTCATTCTTACTGTTACTATACTATAGTGTATCGTACTATACTATAGTTAGTCCCCACCTCGTATATACATTTCCCACTTTTACCTCGTGCACTTGGCTATGCAGTCTAGTGTCGTCGCTTTTGCAGTTGGTCGCCAGGACGTCAGACTATTTGGGCGCTCCGTTGTAGTCGCGCATTGTGCACTGTGCATTAAGAAATTATTCTTGTACTTGTCAGTTCAATTGTTGACGAAGTGAAAATTTAACGTTCATATACCGCGTCACGTCACTCGAGATAATTGTTCTAATTTACATATATAATATATATTTTTTATGATCGGTACCGGTGTCTTTTTATTCATTTTTTTGTTTACTTTGATTATTATTTTTTTCTCGATCGCCGAATGATATTAACGGTCCTTGCTCCGGCTGGCAAAACTGACAGAGGTTGGCAATTAGTCATAGCACGGGAATAGAAGCCAACGCGCGCGCTCCGGAATTCTTGGTGAATTCTTAATACGGTTCTTGTATTCCGTCTTGTAGATTCTTTTCTTTCTCTCTTGCGTTTAACATAAGAAAGAATCATGCGTCTCTTAGCCGCAGTTCTCGATCACACGGTGAGATATTGACTTGTTACAGAGAAATGTACCAAGAGACAGATTCTTGTCAGTTATTCGTCTTCGTTGGCAAAATACGTCACTCCTTGGGAAATCCTTCGAAAAATTTTCAAGGAGATAAATAAGAGTTACGAAAATGTCAAACTCGGGATTTTTTTCCCTCAAATGTTTTTTAACAAGTAATGTCACTTCGTAGCTTTTTTACTTTGCAAAATATGATTCGTTCGAAGAAAATTTCAAATAACGCACCTTTTTTTCTCAAAATTCTTATCCTGTCTTTCTCTTTATTTGCAGGAGTATGATTTGGAGCAGAAAATCGAGGTGGAAATCAAGATGAGAGAAGGCTCGGCTAGACTCCTAGCTGCCGCCAGACATCGTGCACAGAGCTTGGAAGCTGCGCGAGCTCTGCTAACCTCGAACGAACGAATGTCGGCTTACATGGCCGAACTTCAGCGCCGCAAGAGAGAACCGTCGAATAAGAGCAGGTGCGTAATGATTGTTTTAGAGCTTCGTTTGATACAAGTAAACGTAAGTTATTTGCACAATGAAAATTTTACGAATTTATCCATCACAGCCTTCCTGGAAGCTCGGCCAGGGTATCCTTGTCGGAACTTCGCGTACCCTTGATGTGGCGCGATTCCGATCATTTCAAGAATCGTGGCGATTACAGGAGATTTGCTGTTTTCTGTCTGGCGCGCGTCGGCACGGAAATTCACGATACTGCCCTTTTATGTCCAGTCGACAGAGCCCTTACCGACATCAGTTTTCCGGATGTTTTGGTCTTGTGAGTATATTTTCTCTGTTCGACTATATATTGTTTTTCGGAATATCACACTGGTAATATTCCACTTTGGTGCTAATTGATTTTCTCTATCGGCTGTCCTTGTATACTTTCTAGCAATAATGTGCCTGCTGAGTTTGAACTCACCCTGGAAATCTACAGTCACATACTGCAGGAGGATCTCAGCATCGCGAGCACTCCTAGAAGAATCAAGAGGACCATTCACTCATCCATCTCTAAGACCGTCGGCAAAAAACTTGCTGCTTCTCTCAGGGACGAACTAAATTCTGGAAAGATGTATGTGACGTTCGTGTCGTTATCAGTTTATCTTTGAGAACAATTTACATCCGATTGTTTTGTTTGAGTGCTGAAGATGTTTTTATCTTTAACAGCGGTCCTCATTTTGAACTTATGGCTTCGGCTAAACTCACTTTGGACGACAGCGATGAGAATATACATACTCATGACTTGGTTATTAATAATTTGGGTGAGTTTTCATGCTTGTCATTGTCGCCTTGTCTTTCAATATGCTGCAGAAAGGTCGGTAGGGGTAATGACATTTGAATTTATCATGCAGAAAACAAACATCACGCTCTGCCGTTATTCGGGCACTTTTGCTGCCGCTTGGCCGCTCAACCAGAGTGCGTTAACAAGGAGGTCTACGCCGGTAGTCTCAATCTGGACGGACGGGAGTGCTGGGCACGGCTACAGGGATTCTCACTGCAGAGCTGGGAGTCGCGAAAGCTCGCCGAGGAGGAACAGAATCCTCTGGATACGATACCAGTGAACAGGGAGACAACGGTACAGTCCTCGAAGTCCTCTGCCAAGGAGCTGCGAATTGTCAACACCGTGGACGGTGCCGAGAAGACGAGTATTTTGAGACTAGAGTGCAGCGAGGAGGCGCAGAAGTGGCTAAGACACCTGGTGATGCACGCCCAGGATCATCTCAGATGGAAGCATGCCGCTGAATCTATTCAGGATGTACCTTGCGTTGAGAGCGCCAGGAACTCGTTTATCAGTAACAAGAGACAGGGCTCTCTGTACGATGAGACGCCTCTCATTGAATCCGTACAGTCGGATTACACCACGAACAGGCCGACTGTCCAAGAGATATTCGGACTGACGCCAAGCACCAGCCTCAGCAGCTGCAGCTCGACCAGCAGCCCGCCGAGTCTTCGCTCTAGGTCCCTCAGTACCAGCGGGACCAGGAAATTGAGTGGCAGCGCCCTCAAGAATCACTGGCCATTCTCCACCAAGAGTCACGACTAGACTACACCTGAATTAGTCAGAACAACGGGGTTCAGGTTGTAGATTTGATCAATTGACCTCTCAAGGAATCAAGATTGAGAATCTACTGGTGCACGTCCGGCCCGGATGTTCATCTAGGAGGTAAAGGTGTAACGGGCTGGCCCGGCGAGGGACCTATACATATACTCCAAGGGACCAACGTTCACCAGGTTCTTACTCGCAGGGCTCAATTCTTTTTTCTCTTTTTTTTTTCCTTTTACATTAAAAAAGAAACTATGTAGGACGCCAATATGGCGAAGACTGATGATGGGACGAACATTATTGGTGACTTTTATTGTCGTCGATTCTTGTCAGGCGGAAGTGAAGTTTTGGTGAATTCTGCCCGATTACAATACTCAACGAGAACGCGTGATCGATTATTCGCGGGTTTGTTTTTCTTCCTTTTGTCCCACCTTTTATCTCATTCTAACGCTTGACGCGAGTAGATCAGGTTTACTTGCATCAAGCGTGTGACATTTTCCTTTGACTAAGGACGAGGATCGGCATTACCATTTGCTTTTCAAATGTTTCTTTCGGGACGCAACTTTTTCTTTTCTTTTTTTTACTATCACTTTTCCTTTAACTCATTGATAAGAATGGCGATATCACACGTGGTACATTGCAAGTAAAAGTGCCCTTAGGGATATTGTAGAGCCCTTAAACAAAGTCAGTAGATTAGAGTTGTCATCGGTAGTGTCGCCTCTCACGTGCATTTATATCAAACAAATATTGATTTAAAAAGTATGGTATGCAAAGGTACTTTCTCATTGAGTCACATCGATACAGTTCAAAAGTGATGCATGGAAGATATATCTTTGATGCTTACTGTATGTATAATATATATTGATTTTTCACTTTTCTGCATGACGCATTTTTGTAACGTCGTAGCCTTACGCATTCGTGATCCAATGAATAATTAGAGAATATAATTAGCAATTAATATGCGAATAAGTTGTCTTCTTTCCTTTTTCTTTGTAATTTTTCAATGTTACTTCCAATAATCTTCCTCCTTGTATGTTTCTCTTACGATACCTACTTTCCATTCTCACCACTCACTCCGATGTAAAATATTTATTTTTCTTTTTCGCGGCTGATCTTTCATATAGAACTTTGTATGACATTAAAATCTTTTTCAGGAAAATATATTTTCTATTTTACTTATTTCTTCTCTATATAAATCTTCCAAGTCATCGATCCACCGTGTAAAAGAATAGCAGAGTGTATAGATGTATCTACGTTAACCAAGAAGTATGATATTAATGATATATACATTACTACTATCACAATATTCTTATGATGAACATTTATAGAAATTTCAAAATACTATGTCATTCGCAGAATAATTATTATGTATGTCCAATAAACACAAGAGTATTTATAAAGCTTATTGGAAAATGATCTTGTTTAATTATTTATATTGATGTTACCCAAGAATTAATGTCAACAAAGAAAACCAAGGTAACGATACAACATACAAATAATATTATAAATATTATATTTATTTTTACATAGATATTTACATACGAAGCTATCACTTTCTGTATCATAGGCTATTCCAAAAGGAAGATAAACAATTATAATTTAAGACTAAGAACGTTTATTTGCAAATTCATTAAAGTTCAAAAATAGAAATAGAATTTATCCATTGAGACTACTATCGCGACTGTATATATTAAACAATATATATTGAACTTAATGTGCGAAGTTCCTTTATGATTTTTTCGTTGCAGTGAAGAACACACCACCTACCATAGCCACTATTGTGAAGCTCTGTGCAAACACTCTGGCACGCATCATCTTCTGTGACATTATTTTGTCACCTTTGCGAAAGCTATTAATACCCACAAGAAACGCTGTGACTGTTGCTACAGCTCCTATATAGCGAAAAATAAAATCAATAGGAAGAATTCACTGGCAATGCTAGAACAATTTAGAGGTTATGCGTACCAATAGGAACAAACGGATTCTCTTTGCAGCGACGTATGATTTTGTCTTTAGTGGATTCCTTGACCAGAACCTGGTCCATATCTTCTCGCAGTTGTATCCATTTGAGTTTCTCCCTTTCTTCTTCTTGCTTTGACATTTTGTAAGAAGTGAATAACGCACGTTAAAAAATTACATAAAATGTCTCGAATCTGCTTGGATCAAGAGGTCGAATGAGCATCACTTTCACAATCTGCTGTTTTTCTCTATACTTTCTATAATTAGATACATGTATTTAATAAATCATTATTTCAGAGAAATGTTTGAAATGAGCTTTACGGTGTCTTATTCATGTGGTGAAATTTTTCTAATAGCTAATATGGAACGTGCCACTAATGGCAGGTAAAATGCACGAATGATTAGAGCGAGATTGTAGTGTCAGGATTTGCCGCATAATAGGGTACCTTCCTCCTTCCTTTCCTTATGGCTGTATCCCCAATGGGGGATATGTGCCAGTAACTGGTCCTAATAATCAAGGTTGGAAGTTCGACAATAGATGGCGATGTACCTTGCGAGACGGGCCTTATTCAACTCAGCGTGAGGGGACCTACAAAGTTTATACACCGAATCCGAACAGTGTTGGGCGAAATCCGTATAAATACTCACTTAAGTTTTCATATGAAAACAGTCCACAAGCTAGTGGAACACGAAATCTTACGGTCGTGGACACGAGCATTGCGAGCGTTAAGTGGAACGTACCCTATATATACCAGAGATGAGTATTACTATATACACACGACCAATCAAAAACGTGGCACTGCTTCGAGGGCCCACCGCTAAGGTGGCATGCCGAAACCAGAGAAATTGAGACCACCAAAAACAGGCTCACTGGCAATCTCCCTACTCATCTCTGCCTTGTGTCTGTACTCTGCGGAATTCAAAAGCTGAATGAATGTTCCGTATAATTTCCCCTACTTTACTTCTGATGGTACATTTTCTCTAAACGTTTCATTCATCTGTTAAGAGATGGCGCTGCATTCATTTTCCAATATCTCCTGCCTCTTACGAATAATTTTTGAACTACGTATTTACTCTTATGATACTTTGTATTAGACCATTATGCAATAGCGTAGACGCTGCAGCAGCCGTCAAAACAAAGATTTCGAAGCAGAAATTAGAGAAACTTGCATTGCATGAACATTTCACAGGGAAATTGTTAAAAGAAGGAAGTTTCTTATTGTATTGCATATATTGATAATATATTTACGCGTTCGTGTACAAATAATGGCATCAGGATTGGAAAGTTATGTCAATCGTATCCTTTTTAATATAAAAATATACATAATAAAATTGATACTTTCTTATTATTGAGGTTATAAATTCTTTAATATTTTATTACCTAAGATACTGTCTCAATCATCACATCTGATGGACGGAATTTTATAGTGAGCATAAATAATAATAATAATAATTTCTATTTTTTGAGAAACTTAAACACTAACAGAGTATTATGATTTCACAGGGTACTTTGAAAGGGTTTGATCAGACAATTAATTTGATTCTGGATGAGTCTCATGAACGAGTCTACAGTACCACCCAAGGTGTTGAACAAGTTGTCTTAGGTCTACATATAATTCGTGGTGACAACGTGTAAGAGAAAACATACAGAATTAATTCAGTGTTTCAAGTTACCAAAATTCTTTGTTTCACTTTCAGGGCAATCGTCGGAGAACTGGATGATGAAATGGACACCAGACTGGATTTGTCTACAATTAGAGCAGATCCCTTAAGTTCTGTAATACATTGAAATAAATATTTGCTAATTCACACTATCTATATTGCACAATGTGTAATAGTTTTTGTGAACCAGCTTAAAAAAAATTGAGGTTTTTCCCTTTTAACATCAAGCCATTGAGGTAAACTGAAACTATTATTTCGCGACAAATGTGATTGCATAGTCAAGAATTACTATCGTAGTAAATTTTTTTATTATACAAATTATTCTTCTTGCATAAAGTTATCAATATTGTTGAATTAATAGTAATAGTGATCATAGCTGTGTAACTTAATCAGGAAGATAATGAACTACATATGCTTTCAAAATCCATTGGAGCCAGAGCAGTTCCAATGAATTAACAAATAAACAATTTATGAGGAAGATGCTAATCGTCTCCCTGAATGGATAATCGAAAAATCGTTATTCTCAAAAACAAAAACATTTGCCTCCTCGAGCTTGTCGAGGCACATTATTAGATGGTTAAACATGGATCTGGTCACTCTGGTGTTAATCAGGAAGAGTGTGGTAAAAAAATTTCCGGTGCGTTCGCACTAGTATTTTCATAAATCAAAGGAACAGCACTAACATGTTATGTAAAGGATAGTTCTGAACAGCCAGAAGACCCAATTCCCCATGCTTGATACATTATTGATAATACAATAAACAACTTGACGTTGTAGATTCACCTATAATAATACAATAACCAGTACCTATATACCTATGTACACTGGAAGACTTGAAGAAACTCAAATGAAAGAATAACGTATAGTAAAGATAATAAAGAATTAATCTGAATGGATGATTCAAAGATCCACTATATAAATTTTCTCGTCTTCACTATTATGGTGTCTCTTGAGCATGCCCACAGAAGAGAAAGATAAAAATAAAAATAAACTATATACAGCCATGTATAATATTTATATCTCGCGTAAAAAGATTCGCCATTCGAATAAGTCTTTTTTTCTTTTTCTTAAATCATCACTGGAGTGCTGCTGCAAAATCTCATGGGTTCGTCTGAGATGCACAATTGCACATATTATTATATGTAGAAACCATGGAGCATGAAATCCGGATTTTAATCAATCTAATGGCGTGAGAACGCATGTTCCCTCACCTTGTCTCGTTAATGGAAGAAGTCTGTGTTCCTCGTGTACTGGAGCACTGAGCACTGAGCACTTTATATAGATTAGCTGCACTGAGTCCTTGATCTTTTAATGGAGGAGTAGGACGAGGAGGGCCTTTAGGGAGACCTGTTGGCACGATTATTAGTGCCGACATTAGTCCTGTTCCTGTTTCTTCTTCTGACTCTACCACCACGTCTGGTTTGATTTTGATTCCCGTTATTCCACTCGGGCCCATTTCCGCCAAAATTGGGAGGATTGGGTCCATTGGGACCAAATCCCATCATTCCAGGATCGTTCGGACCAGGACCAGGACCAGGTCCAGGACCATAATTTCCAGGGCCAAAGTTTCCAGGTCCACCAGGGCCGGGACCCGGACCAGGACCTGGACCGGGTCCAGGGCCAGGACCATAATTGGGACCATCGTAGGAAGGTCCTACATCCGGACCAAATCCTATTCCTGGAACAGGACCTAATAATCCTGCACCGTTGTTACGCTGAGCATTGAACCTCGGATCGTATGCCATTTGATTCTGGGGCATCATAGGTCCGTTAGGACCCATTCCTGGTCCCATATTAGGCATCCCTTGCATACCTTGCATTCCCATAGGTGGCATATTAGGTGGCGGCATTGGCCCACTCATTAATGGTCCGTTTGGACCCATTCCACCCATCATAGGTCCCATTGGACCCATATTTCCCAACATTGGATTGGGGCCCATAGACATAGGCATTCCCTGAGGTCCGGGCATACCCTGCGGCCCCATTCCCATGTTATTCATATCAGATGGAGGCTGCTGCATTGGACCGCTTTGCATATTTGATACATTCGAGCTTGGAGATGACTGTGCCGCTGCCTCCAAAGCTTTTCTTCTTGGATCAGATCTAACCTGAGGTGGAGATTTTGGAGTATCTGGCTTAGCAGGTGGTGGCGACATTGGTGAATCTGCCAAATCCGACTTGGACAGTCTAAAGATCTTCCTTAGTCGAGGATCGTACTTCACTTGGGGATCGTTCTTGGTCAACTTGAGTCCTGTGTAGTCAGGTCGAGGAATGTCTACCACATAGACTTTGAACGTTATCGGAGGATGCGAACTGATACTAGCATCTATCTCAGTACAGGGCATGTGACTTGGTGCAGGCTTAAAAGGTAGGCTGAGCATCTGACGAAGATCCACGTCCGACCTGGTGGATGATTCCGTGAATGTACCGCCAACTACCCTGAGATCAGTATCGCCAAAGTCCGTGAAGCGTTGACGAAGATCCATGTCCTTGCGGCGATGATCCTGATCACTTCTTGACCGTAGATCAGTATCCAAATTACCGTCCAGTGAGGTTATGCCGGAACTGTAGATACTATTCTCTATTCTCATCGTCCTGGTCTCCTTCTTCGCCTCGACTCTGTTCGGACTACTAGGTTTCTGTTCGTCTCTTCTTTGTCTAGGGTCCCTGGACATCCTGGGATCTCTAGACACCGGTATCGTACTTGCACTAGGTCCAGGTGATGATCTGGGACTCGCCGTCAGATTCTCCACTTTGGACATCTTCGCTTCAGGCTCATAATCCTCCACCATCTTACTCGAGGTGGAGTAATCCTGGTCGAACTTCGTTTTTCCTTGAGAGGATTCAGCTTTCGAACTTCCTCCTGACTTCCCATTGCCTGAACTCTGTGCCTTTATCGATGACAAGAGCTTTGTCACCTCAGCACTAATATCGATTTTACTCAGGTCGCCCAGTTTGTCCACTATCACCGCGGGCTGAGGAATTGCTGGAGGTAGAACAGGTTCGGGTGCATTAACAACCTCCTTTTCTTCTTCCTGATCACCTTCCTCCTTTGGCACATCTTTGAGCACTATCGTCAAGTTTCCTGCATCGTCATCATCGTCATCTTCATCGTCATCATCGTCCGAGTACCAATCTTCCTGAGGTTGCGTGTCCGCCTTGTCAGACTCATCATCTAGATTCTTAAAACTGTCCTGAGCAGCTCGTTGCTGCTGCTGAATACGCATAAATAGCTCCTGAACCTTCTTAGGAAGATGCGATGGTATTTCTTCGGTAGCATTCTGCACAGGTGTATCTGAAAAATCAAACAAGCAAAATTTATTTCCATTACACTATAAGATTCCATCGTATAAATATTATTCAGAGGACAGTTGAACTCGTACAAGACGCTTACCATTTGTCTTTCCTGGTTCCTTATCCTTATCGTGGTCTTCTACTGGCATCTCGATAACCAGATCAGCTTCTTCATCCTTGTCACTTTCCTCATCGAGTTTTGTCTTGGCCAGACTCGCAGCTTCGTCCGCTATACTAACGACATGGGGATGTTTTGCCGCGCTTGCGAGTAATTGTCTCAAGTCGATATCCTTAGAAGTCTCTGAAGAAGCTTCTTTGATTTTTGCCTGATGGAGTAATTCTCATTAGAAACAGCATATTGCACAGAGTTGATTAAAAACAGAAAATCAGTTACGTACAATATTCTCCCTGACTTGGGCAAGAATCTCGTCCTCCTCAACATCTTTAGTAAAGTCTTCCTTATCCTTGACCCTGTTTTTGTTGCCATCGCCGGCATTCTGTCCGGATTCCTTATAAAATCCCATATTGGCAATCCTCTGCTGTAGAAGTTGCTTTTGAAGTTGTTGCTGAACCACCAAACCCAGAGCTGCGTTAGGAAGTTGAAGACCAAGTTGACTGGCAGATTGGAGTAGCATAATCTGCTCATAAGGAACCCTATCCTCATCGGATCCCCAGCGAGTCTTCTTTCCAGAAGGTTTTCGATCCTTGTTTGAGTTGGTTTTTTGAGTAGGACTCGCCGAACTTTCAGATCCTTTGAAATAAACAATAAAGATCAAATTAACCTTCCCGATAGAAAACATTAGAAAAACGTCGCTAACAAAAGACAACAAAATACTAACCTTCATCATCCTTGCTGTCAGTTCTGCTACCGTTGCCAGGAGCGGGTAAATTTAGCTCGAACAAACTGGGAATCTTTTGATTCCCTACATCCTGACCCTGAGCAAGACTTCTGGCTGTGTTATTGATCATAAGCATAGCACCTTCGCGGCTTAGTCTTGGAAAATCGCCAAGTATCTCCTTTGGAGCAGTTTCTAAATGCTTCAGGAGGATACCCTTGACCTGCTCATTCAGAGGTTCATGAGAGAACTTGCAATTCTCTCCCTGATTACATTTGAGTCCGGTATGGAAGAATTTGCATGGAAAGTCATGGTGCATATAAAGACACTTGTCTCTCTTTGCACAACAGTCCATTAAATAAAACTTGCACAGTTCCATTTTCCTCGGTGGAAGTGCATTGTGTGAGAATGGACAATCATCTCCTCGATGACACTTTCCTTGCATGTAATACAGACATATTGCATCAGGATCCTGTCCATGATCGTTTCCTTGATTTCTACGTCCATTACGCTCGTTTCTCATTTGACCTCTACCCTTGTTTTTTCCACCGCGATCATTCTTTCCACCACGTCGACCTGAAATGAATGGAGCCTCCTGAAGTTTTGATGATTATAACACTAAGGATTTCCTTAACAAAGCTTTTAACTACCTACCTCCACCGCGTCCACCGCCACGTTTATTCTCATTCTCGCGATGTCTGTTCAGACCAGGTCGATCATCGTAATCGGAATTGCTGTCAAAGTTGTCGTGGTCATTGTTTCTTCTGGGCGGTGTACTATTCTCTCTGGAATCTTTCCTAATGGGAGAAGCTCCTCTGACGAAAAGCATCTCGTCGTCATCCTCATTGACATCTTCGTCGTCGCTGAACTTCCTTTTCTGTAAATAAGATACAATGAAATTTAGAATCTGTGGGTATTAAAAAAAAGGGCTATAACCATTTATTATACTTTTTGCTCTTTGATACGGTCATCATCCTTGTCATCTCGTATCCTCTTACGATTTTTGTTCCTGCTGTTCTTGTTCTTGGATTTGTTTTCTTGATTCTTGACTTTGTCTTCTTCAAGAGCAGCTCTTATCGCCTTCTCAACGTCTCCTGCCCAGTCCTCAGATGGATTCTTGTATTTGGTGAAACGGTCCGTCTTACCACCACTTCCTTGAACGGATTGCTTCTTGTTCTTATTAAATTTACTGTCAAAGGTCTTGCTCTTCGGAGACTCATGTTTTGATATTGGCTTTGGAGGTTCCTGGACAGGCTTCGGAGGAGCTGCCACAGGTATTGGTTCATCATCCTCATCGGAGGGGATCTCTCCATCTTCCAAGTCCTCATCGTTATTACTAGAGAATTAAACAAAATTTGTCTATATCTATACTTTGCTCTAACACTATTTCATTATAACTACAGAGAACTGTTCCTTACTGGCATATGTGTCAGTATACGAAAACGTGCATTCACTTATCATAGTAATACAAACATATGACTCCATATTCCATATATTTCAAAAACATATTTTACTCTGGCTCTATTGCCAAATCATCCTGGAATTTATTCTCCCAAGGACAGTAATACCAAGAATAGTTGCCAAGAAATATGACTATTGCAAATATTTTTTAGGAAATAGTATTTGAGGATTATCCCAACTTGGGACTGTCCTCTTGATTGATTCTGATGATGAGGACCTTGAATGGTATCATAAAAGTATCATTTTTAGGATGATACGCATTGCTTCCTTCAGCATGGTATCTCTCCCTTTAAGGCATTCACTTTTACTGTGTCATATCATAATTTCAGCTCGTAGGATTCTGTCGCATTGATTAAAGTCCTTTTTCAGGACTCTTTATTTTTTGGTGAATCCTGTAAAAAAGGACCATCTGCCACAGGATCAATGGAGCATTCTGCAGACCTAATCTAAAAAGAAACAGAGACAAAAGGTCTCTATTGGCTAAATCATGAAGAATTGACCTCTGTAAATCAGATTCTTATCGAAATAGGAAACAAGACAGTTCTCAGGGACAGACAAAAATATTCATATAAAGAACAAACACAGCAAATAATACACGTTGATGATAATACCTATAAAATATCCCCTTTAACAAAATTCAAGAATATTAAATATCAAAAAAATAATTCAATATGCTCTTCTAAGACTATCTATCAATAACATCTAGAATATGAAACAATAAATAATCGTTAACACAATGAATAAATAACTACTGCGAAGAATACTAAAGAATTTTAAGTAAGACTGTTAAAATAATGTTCTACTATAGCCAATTTGCCTACAATCAGTTGCGTCAGTAGTTGCTAACCCAACCAAAAACGTCGATCCCGGTTAAAATAAATTCCGCGGCAAGTTAATAGTCATCATGCAAGTGAGGAGAGTCGATCAATGTGCGAATAAAAAGAGAATACAAAACGTATTGCAATAACACGCTATGACAAAATAATTTCCACAGAATGTTAAAGTAACACGCACTAGATTTTCCCATCACCCAAGAGAAAGCAAAGTTATAAATACATTATACAACATAACGTAACATAATATAAAAGCAACGACTATCCATCCACCGTATTAAAATGAATCCCATTAGTATGAAGATGATATTCCCAGACCAGAGTGAAATGAAGATGCAGACAAATAATCTAAATAATTAATTGAAAGAGACAGATACAAATAAAAAGAAAAGAAATTATTAACCAAGATCCATAAAGGTCAAAGCATTATGATTCGCAATAAGACAAGAGAACGTCAGCTAGAAGAGCAATAAAACAATATGAAGTTGATGCCGAAGTAAAAGCAGAGAAGAATCCCGGAACCGGCAAACGGTGTCTTTCGTAATTCGCGTCTTCTAAAAGAAAGAAAAGAAATTAGATTGGATTTACCTTACCAATCGGGCCATCATCATCATAATCATCATCATCATCATAATCATCGAACATTGTCATAATCATTATCATCAATTTTATCATCATTTGCAAGGGTGCATCACTCTTTATCAATATTAAATTGTCAATTTTAAATCCTTCATGATTTCATTACACATTGGTACGTATCTGTGCATACGTACATATACATATGTATGCTACGTTTCATTGCTTGGTAAACACTGGACTATATTATTATGCAATAGAGTAAATACACATATAGGCCCACACCTTCTACGTAAATAATTCAGTATATACGTGAGTATGCTAGAGGCCAAATTTTATGCATTAATAAAAAAAAGGATATTGTGTAATTTTTTTCAGGTAGACATTCCTTGAGATTCCCACATTCCTTTTTGATTCTTGGCAGATGTCCTTGGGAGTGAGAAAAAAATGTTCGGGCGAGAATAATGTAAAAGAAGGACTATGTTAGTCTATTTCTTTTCCTTTCGATAGAAACTTTAACGAACGGGAGAGATCATGAGAAAAAAAAGCGATGGATATTTTCCATTGTTCAGTTACCGTGGATTGTCGACGTTAACAGGAAAATGGCGTCGAACGCAGCTGGCTGCTACGTCCATACATATGTATAGATAGAGTAACAGCCGTGAGTCATTTTGATGTAACTCCGAGCAACCGCGATAAACGTAATAACAACAATTTCAAGATTAATTCCAGAGAAAAATTACAAGAGATATAATAAAGATAGAGTCATGCAAGGAGAATGATGGTTTATCGTGAAAACCAAAAGGAAAAATGTAAATACTACCGATCCCAAAAGTCAAAACCCAAATTCTGCTATAAAGATAAACGTATAATTTTGTGAAAAATCATTTAAAGACATGGCAAAGAAATGACAGAAAAGAGAAATGAAATAGTTGAAAGAGTCAGTGTACGAATCGCGTAGTAGTTTTATTATATCAGAATGAAGTCCTTATTTGCCCAATAAAGGACAAAGGACAATAGGAGCAATTTAAAAAAAAATGTAAGAGTCAAATTATTAGGTATATCCATATTAAACGTATTCTTTTTCAAAACTACATGGAAACAAATCCGTCGTTAAATCTTTGACAAACGTTCTCGCCCGACATAATCTTCTCTTGTTTTGTTTGTGGAATTAAAAATGAGAGGCAAACCTTTGGATTAGAGTCTCGGCCGCGTTAACACTCTCGAGTGCCATGGCTCTCTGTATTTTCAGTGTGAATTGCGTGTCAATGCGTGCGTGCCTGCGTGCTTTTTAAGTGCGTAGCAGCAGCCCGCAACAAAGTAGAGCACGCGCCAGCCTGTCTCTGCCTGTCTCTCCCTCTCTATGCCGCCTGCATGTACGTCTCTCTCTCTCTCTCTCTCTTTCTCGCTCTATATACACGCCGGCTCGTGTCTTTTATCGTTTGGCAACAACAGCCCTTTTTAGCCAGCCGTACGTGATACGAAGCGCGTCAACGGATCCAGATAAGACACACTATTGTTAAAGATGACGACGTGGCAGCAATGCCGACGAGGATGAGGTTCCAGCGACGGGATCGTGGTATCGATCGCAACGATGATGCCGTAGCAGGGTGTTATAACGTGACGCGAGAAATCGAACATTTAGAAAACGATGTCTCCTCCAGTATCTTAGGCTCACGTATACAAATAATCACGATTTGTTTGTATCCCCCGGGTTTCCTTTAGTTAAGAGAAGAAAAAAAAGAAGAAAATTCAAGGAGGCAGCTTATACAAGGAAGACAATTAACAGAATCGGGGAGCAGTGAGGTCTCGAGAGATTTCTCGTCTGATATAAAATGCCAGATGCTTCTCACTCTCTCGGTTCCTGATCTTTGGAGCGTCTTTAAATTCTCAAAACAAGGACTCGAATCACGATCTTTTAATCCCAATTAGTAAATGTCTCTCTTCCGTTGAGAACTAAATTACTCGCAATATTTCTTTTCAATTCGTCGTTGACTCAATAACTCGCATCTCCCTTTTTATCGTGCTCGAACCCTCTTTTCTCTATATATATGCATGTATATAGATATTCACTCTCGATTCCTGGTCGATATTTCCTTCTGTGTTCACTGTATTAGATATATCGCGTTCCTTTTTTCTATGTTCCTTCGACAAGAAGAGAAATTTTCGTCAAAATATTTTACGTCCTCCTTCTCGCTACGGCAACGTCATTCTGCCTGACGTGGCATATCGCGCAATGGCCGCCGTCTTCTCTCTGCTTCTCTCTAAACGTATATATATATATGCGTGCACATATATACACGCCCGTGTGTCTCTCTCTTACTATCTCTGTAACCTGTTTTTCCTGTACAATATGTTCGTGTATTAGTCAAGCGTCGCGTACAGCAGTCATGTTAGCGTTTCACGGCGTCCCTTTTTGTACTACGTGGCGCGTCTATACAACCGGCGTCCTTGTACCATCGTTCAACGTGATGTGGAAAGTCTAAAAGAATTGGATGTAGGAGAAACGAGGAATTCTGATTGGTCGACAGATGTCGCATCAATCGTTTGTCCTTGGGTGGGGAAAGATATTAGAGGGGATATGGCAATGGTGGGGATATAATTGTGATTTACTCTATTCGTAAATAGAACAAAGGACGTAATTGGTGCGTCAACCGGAAGTGATGAGTTCTGTGTCGATGTGTGTGTGTGAGTATGTACATATACTAATGAGGGAAACAGCAGAAAACGTGCGCCCTTCTTCCTCAGCGGGAAAACTGCAAACTACACGAGATATACCTTCATTGGGCGTTGTCGCGTGGGACAAGAAAAACACGTGATAAACGATTACGTTATCTCTTTTTCAATTTCTCTTCTTACGTAGGAAATACCGACGAACGTATGAACGAACGGATTAATCGAGTGGACGAGACACGACATCAGAGAGAGAGAGAGCGATTATATATATTTGAAACTTTATGCTCACAATGTACGTCGTAAATGGCGCGGATCGCGTTTACTTTTCGTATGCTTTAGCATGACCTCGTTTTTTCCCCTTAATATCGATTTCTTTTTAACTACTTTGATGCGGATACCGAGAGAGCGCGACCTAACAGATCGATCGATACTCGGACTTCTCTCTCACGCTACCTTTCTACTTGTTAATTATTATTTTTTCTTTGATTCAAAGATGTCCGTCTCCCTTTTGTCTCTTACTCTTGTTCTCCGCGCGGTAACAGTTATGCTCTCGTCTTTTACGGCAATGAGTATATAGGCGAGGATAATCGCAGGCAGCGGAGAGTACGACTCGGCAGGCAGAGGCGGATTACAATAGTGTTCAGCAATAATGTAGAGATGCAGTGTGTAAAATTGCGAATTGATATAAGCGGAACTTCAAAGATTAACTAAACATGGCCACATCTGGAACTATTCTGAGCGGCGGCCCGGAGCTGAGCTTCCGAGCTGGCGTCCCTGGATTCTGGTGGGGGTTATGGAGTGGATCGCAGACAGCCAATCACGCTGCAAGATTTGTATCACGTGTTCGCTCCCACCCATATTTTCTATCCCCTCTCCTAATTTAGTTATCCCCACCTGATGACCGCTTTAACCAGAATTCCTGCACCGGTCGAGGTTGAACGAAATTCGCCTACGATTTCACCCTTGTATAGTAACTATTCTAAAAACATTCAACCGGTTTATTTATTGGCAACGTGACGAATCTCCCGTAGTATCAACCATTTACAGAAGATCCTATATTCTTTGATATCTTTGGCTGATCTGCAATATCATCTTTATGCTATTCGGTTCATTCCTGAAAATGATTTATCTCATTCGATACTTCTGACCTTGATTATTCTAACGGACCTCCATGTAGCTTGGCCTTACTCCAAATGAGAGTATGGAATATTTAAAAAAAATGTATTCTGAGAAAATAACGGTTTATTTTTGTTTGCGAACAACTTTTATTTACCTAATAATTGGAATCGAAAATATTCTCTATAATATTCTTCAATTTGGAGACCGTTGACAAGTTTTGTATGTTTCTTTTCTTTCTCATTAAATCATAATTACCGTTGGAAAAGTCAGTGTAGAGCATTCGTTTCTCTGTACAGCAGAAAGGCGTGATCAACATATGTCAATAGTTTCACATCATTTATACTCTCGTATGACGATACGACCTATTTTTAAAAGTAGAATCAAGTCGATAGCGTCTGTAACAAATGTTGAAACCATTCGGAAAGCATAGAGCATCCATCAGAGCATTGCTAAGTTGAATATCTTGTACGTTCACCTGACACTCCTTGAAGACTTTATGATCTTTTTGATTCTCTTGTGAGATAATATTATGTGTCATCAAGATATTCGGCTTTACTTAGTACATATGCGTCTTAGGAAAGTCATTTTGATAAATCAGGTTTCTGTTTGTTGAACAGTTAAAAGCTTATGTAGAATAAAATGTTGATAAAGCTTTTAAGAGGTGTTTGATTTTTATCTGATTGCCATTTCCCTTAACTTTTAGAATAAGAATTCAGAAAGAGCCGTTCAAAAAGACTGAGCTACTGTATTATTACTCATAGTTATTTTTGTGCAAAGAAATTTTCTGAGCAACATGACTTAGTAATTAAACAGTTTATAGTATCCCGGTAAAGGCGATTTGCTTATGGCCAATATTGCGAATAGAGTAATGAAAGCAGTTGATTTAATGGCGGATTAATTAACGCTTTTGAAAATGCTTGAAGCGATTTCTCCGATTTTGGAGTAGTAATTGTTATTCCCGGAAGAATCGTAGCCGACATAGAAAGCAATATGCACTTTTGTAATTTTGCAATTCTCTTTGCGGGTTTTCGATGATTCCTTTACGCTTAGTACGTCGAAATGCTTCTACAAATCAACATCGAGAAATTGATCTTCCAATGGTTAGGGGTCCTCGTCTACCTGGGTCTTGTGTCTTCAAGAAGCGCGTAAGTGTAGTATTCCTCCATTTGAGATAGATAAAGATCTCAGTACGTTTTTTTAAAGAATAATTTTATTGAAAAAGTTATTCAGCTATCCAGCACACAGCCATTTTCACTTTGATTCTTATTTATATTATTCAATTCGTAATTGGAATCTAAATAACACTTTATTATATATTAATGGACTCTTCCAAGAACAGGGAACATCTGGTCCATGATGAAAATTCACGGTTGAATCTCTACAATTCCTTTGGGACTCAGGAACTCGCCAACACGGTGAAATCCTTCCAAGAAGGTAACACCTTGACGGACAAATTTAACAAGTGGACTAAGACTCTTGAACAGGACAAGATGCGCCAGCCGAGTACAGGGAAGCCCAAAGAAGACATCAACGAGGTCCTGAAGCCAATCCTGGAATCCATAATAGGACAAATTGATAATGAGTTCAGAAAAATCGACAGGAGTAAAGATCAGACAAAATATAGTTGGTTGTCCCGTCAAAAGTTTCATAAGGATGTTTTCAGACTTATGGAAATTCTTGAGAAAAATCGTGAAAAGCTTCTTCATGGTGGTCACGATAGCATCTCTGTGGTTCTTCCAAAGACAGAAGATAAATGGAATTTTTTTAAAGATCCTCACCAACTTGAGCCTCTTAAGACTAAGAACAATATCATCTCCTTCACAAAGTCTATTAGAAGTCAATTTAACAAAGAACCTATTCCTCATGTTATCGATGAGAAGATTCGATTTCAAAACTCAAATAGCAGTATGAAATCCCGTCGTGTCCCAGCTGCAGTTTCTAAAGACATAAGCAAAGAAAATGTAGAAGATCCTGGCAAAGAGAAGGCACACCGCAGAGTACTTACTGTACAGTTAAAAGTCAAAGTTCCTGAGGCACATAACAAAACTGTGGAAAATGGTACATCCTTTCATACTTCATACCTTCATGAAGATAATAAGGATAAAGTCGGTACTATCCTCCCAAGTGATTTGAATTTACATAGAAAATTCAAGTCCGAACTTCATTGCAAATCCCTTAAAGGATTTAGTACCTGCACTACAAATGGTACCTTATCAAAACAAATAAAGCCAATTCGACTACTGGTTCAAATTTCAAGGAAGAAACGTCAGTTACAAGATGAGATACAGGATATGTCTTCAACGTACGATAAAATGAAACATGGTAAATTTTACATCAGAAGGATTATAAGGAAAAAGCATGTACAGCGCGTGGATCATCTTGAGAACGAGGAACACGATTCAAATGACTCTTCTGAGACAACAACAGCCAATTTAGTCTCTGTCACTAAGGTAATGTTTGGAATTTTAATGAAATCCAAAATTTCCTTAATCCTTTAGAGTCTATTACCTTGTTTTAGGACAGTGTAGAGTCAGTTGTAACTGTTCCTGAGGATGGGGTATCACATTTCTCTGTGCATGATGCCTCAAAGCCGGATGATGACGAAACAAACGAGAGTGAAGATGGGGTAGATGAACAAGAGGAAGAGGAAGATCCAGGCTCCAGAGGATACCTCTCGCCCTCTAAGTTTTCAAGAATTCGAAAAAATCTAAGCGACATTACAGACGATTCGAGGATGCTAGCCTTCGTCGGCAGCCTTGAAGAATTTAATCTAGAAGAAGTCTCACCAGGTCCATTACACAAGAAACTCCACCGCAAAGAACATGGAATACTTAGCTTGTCAAAGCAGGACACACTTGATCTAGAGCCAATAGAAAATTCCATAAATCATATGTTCACATCAGAAACAACAGAGGCAAATGTCTTCTCATCGATGAATAGCACCAGAGTCAAAGACGACTACGATATAACTAAGAACGAAATCATATGGAGAAAAAACAGAACTCCTTCTACCACAGAAAGACTGCTGGGCGAAATTGAGAAACTCCTTGAGGGGATCGAGGAAGAGTTTCGACAAAATATTTCGCTCACAAAACAAACATTGGAAACTGGAAATTTATCCAAGGACTCTGTAATCCCAAGAGAGATCACTTTGGTCAGACGCAAAGGTAGGAAGGAGAGGATTCTTGAAAAATCCAAATTCCTGAAGAGCAGTACTAATAAAAAGAAGCTACAGAAGAACTTCAAGGAAAATATGAAAACTCCCAAACAACAAATAAACAATGATATTAAAAGAGTTTCCAGAAGACGTAAATACATTGGTAGATATAAGAGAAGTCCAAAAGTGCCGATGATGCATAATGTTAAGCATAAATTTAGTTCATATTCCAAAAAGCAGAGAACAAAGTTCAAAGATCAAAGGATACGTGCAAGTAAAATGTATGGAAATCATTTATGATATACTGAATGAAAATGATATACTTGCTTACACTCACCTAAAATTCTCATTTCACTTGCTCGTGTGATCTATGATGGAACACGAATGAGATTCCACTGGACCAACATTGTCTCAATGATAAATCTGGCAGGGTACGTGGATTGTGAGCGTGTCTCCAGTCAGATAAATCAGAATTACAATCAGTATTCTCAGGTGGACCCTTCACCTCTACCCCATTAACGCATCTCTTACACTTGAACCTGTCAATTATAAAAAATCATGTATCATCGCTGCATTGCTTGACCAAGAACAGATGAAAGAAATGACTAACTTTGCATGGGTATCAGAAATCGTATTTTCCTCAAGACTAAAAAGGTCACGAAGGTCATTCAAAGTGAAATGCCTAGCAACGTCGTCTTCCTGATCAACGACAGTAGAACTTAGTGCTTTCTTATGCGCTTGTCTTTGAAATATCTTCTCTTCGATGGTCCCAGTCTATTTAACGCAATAAAAAATGTCAGGAAATTTAATAGTGAATTTGAACGTCCATAGACCAAGGTCAAGTACACTTTAAAACTTACAGACAGAAGTCGGTAGACAAAGCATGGTTTCTTCTGGCCATCTCGCCAGACTCTAGCCATAGCCTGATCATCGTTGGCAGGATTCCAATCGGGATCGAACATTACTAATCTATTAGCACCAATCAGATTGAGACCACAGCCACCAGCTTTTGAACTCAGCATGAAGATGAAGTCGCCGCTGTTGGGATCGTTGAAATTGTCCACGACCTTTGCACGTTTCTTTATTGTCATTGTACCGTCTAATCGCACGTAACGGTAGCCACGCTTACGGCAGAGTTTTTCAAAAAGATCCAGCGTCTGAGTATAATTTGAGACCAGGACGATTTTATCCGTAGTCGTTGACTTCACTGAAGCAAGCAAGCAGTCTAGGACCATCAATTTACCCGACAGAGCCGGCATGACTTCCCTGAGAAGATAAAAGAAATATTTAATAAGACGAACAGATTCGATTGGACTGTTCTCTTTTTAAATTCAAAGGATTCGATTTACTTTGTACTATAATTTGAAGGCAGGAGTTTAGCTGCTTCTTCGAAACCTTCAGAGCCCTGTGTTATTTTATCATAAACCAAGTCTGGATGATTGCATAACTTCTTTAGAAGTGTTATCGCCGATAGGGCCGAAAGACTTCCTTTCTTGTCAGATGCGTTTTCTTTTTCTGAATCAATATAATTAATGTTTTTCATCAGTCAGGATGATGAATATTTTTTTCATTATGAATACGTTTCATTGTACCTTGCATAGACCTTTTTATACTATCACTTCTTATAAAACTGTTGTATAAATCGGTTTGAAGCTGTCCCATCTTTACACAAACAACAAGCTCATGCTTTACTGGCAAATATTTTGACAACAGAGCACTCGTTCTTCGAATTAGACATTTATTTACTACAGTTACTAATTCGTTCAGACGTTCCTGAGCAAGTTTCCGCTCAGAATCTGAAGCTCCAGCATCTTGACCACGAAGAATGGGCGTTTCGAATTTCCTTCGGAATTCCTAAAGCACAAATATTGTTTAATCTATTTCTTGAGCCTTACAATAAAATATGTTAAGGACTGCGGTCGATTACCTGAGCGGTCCCTAGGAGACCCTGATTAACAAAGTGTACCAGAGAAAAGTATTCTAGAAGATCGTTCTGTATTGGTGTTCCACTCAGAAGAACTCTGCGTTTCGCTTTGAGCCCCATTAAAGCTTGATAAGTTTGGTTTTCGGAATTCTTCAAGCGATGCCCTTCGTCGCAGAGAACGAGACCGACTTCATCCTGGTGCAAAACGTGAGCATGCAGGCGAAAGGTCTCGTAGCTTATTATTAAAATTGGAGTGGCACATCTGCGTCCATAAGTTTTCATAAATCCAGTGAGTTTCAGATCTATATCGTTCTTGCTTCCACCATCAATAGCTAAAGGTTTCACACGATTCTGAAGCCATTTGAAGATTTCATTGTACCAGTTTTTTACTAGGGAACTGGGCGCCACTATTATTGCCTTCTCAATAAGGGGTTTAGCTTCTGGACCTATTTATTTACACAATATTATTTAATTGATTAAACATTTACCAAAGACCCTTATAAAGCTTCGATACAAGGTATGAAAAATTATTAGATTACCTTGCTTTAGCAGTGTCCATAATAGTGTTATGCACTGTAGAGTTTTACCCAATCCCATTTCATCAGCCATTATACAGCCATATGCATTCTCTATGCGTTTACCAGTGACACATTCATACATGAATTTCACACCTTCCCTTTGATGGGGTCGTAGAATATCACAAAGTAATGGATCGACCACAACATGAACAAGTTGTTTGCTCCTACAGATAATTTGATTAAGAATAGAAAGGTTCAGAGTAAGATGAGATGTAAAAAGGTGAAGAGTAATGATTGAAAATACATACTCATCAAGTTTAAGCCTGTCGTGCTCTGATACTTCTGGTGGAGTATAAACGATTAGAGCATTTGCTTCATTTGGATCATGACAAGCTCTTCGTGGCCCTGAAAGTTTCGTACCTAGTGCACGTCCAGAGAGTCGGTATCCAGGTATAGGGATTTTGAATGGTTTACTGAGAAGTTTCCTGACTCGGTCCTCCTGAAAATAATGAAGGCTTTGAATAAGGGGTCCTTGGTCTATGTACAATTAAGTACTTTTATCAAATTCTTACATGATCTGATATGACTTCCTGAGTAACAGAGACATCATTGGCTGAAAGTACCACAGCCTTACTCTCGGCAATATGTATATTCTTCTTTATATCACGTCGAGGCTTTTTTTCTTTTTGAGTTACATCTTGTAAGGAATTAACTCTTGGCAATTGTGCATTTACATCAGAAAGCAATGGCCTTTTACCACGTTGACTAGGAGCCAGTGATCGTATCTTTTTCAACATTAGAAAAATTGAATTACAATTAATAACGAATGGAAGGCAAAGATTATAAGATGCACTCCATTCCATATATTCACTTAAATTTCTTATTTATTACATAGATTGAGTGGAACAAATTGTTTATTGTTAATATATAAATGAACTTAGAAAATGCAATAAAATAGTACATCACAATTAAAATTACATTTATAGACATTTGATTAACAGATAACCTGTTGAACTTGTCAATTCCTTTTCTCTACTAGAAATGAAGACAAAAGAATGAAATGAGGCAAAAATATGTATAAACTTACCATATTTTTTTAATTTGAAAGTATTCTCCGTTAATTTCATACCAGCAACAACGATTAATAACTGAAAAATATTCACTTAACCATTCAGTGAAACAATCACCTAATGGATCTTCGAATGAATTACCGCCAATAAACAGAGTAACTGACGAGGTTAAATACATTTCAAAATACATAAAAATTTCAAAAATACTGTTGTTTTAACATATCCAGGTAATATAATCGGTCCTCATTATTATTATAGATAATTATACAAAATGTATAAAATAATAAATTTATTCATCAATAAATGTTTTGTCACTTTCAAGAAACATGTTCCCAATAAAGTCTTCAGAGGTATCATTATCAAGAGACTTTTTCCTTTCTGTAAAGAATTTTCCAAGCTCCTCGTCATAATAACATTTTGTCAATTCCGCTGATTCGTACGTAATATTTGGACGAATTCCATAATAGTCATGAAGAAAATTAAAAACATCTTCTTTGCATTGCAGATTGTTGAAAACCCGTCTTTCTTTCTTCGGAAGGATTTTTTCAAGCATAAAAACTAAATGATGATGCATACACAAGAAACTTGTGCCTTTGCTTGAAGTAATATTTACCCAGTCTTGAATACAACTCAATGGTGTACTTTCTGCACCAGAGAACAAAGCTGGATTTGTTAATATTCCGCTAGCAGCCATAATTCCATTGCAGTCAACCTCTTCATATAAATTATGAGCATCTGTTAAACTTTTAACATCACCATTAGCTATTAGGGGTATATGAACTGAACTCATAGCAACTTTTAATCCTAAAAGATCTATGGGATCATTGCGCATCTGTGGTGTTCTTGCATGTATAGTTAAAAAAGACACTCCAGCCTTCTCTAAAACTCTGCAGAATTCAACAGTCTTTCTAATATCCTTCAGAAGTCTTATTTTTACTGAGACACTAAATGGAGTAGGGATCCTATTTCTAACCTGGGATACTAAATCCTTTACAAGCTCCGGTTTGCTAAGAAGATCTACCCCATAGCCATCCTTGATAGCCCATCGCTGTGGACAGCCACAATTGAGATCCACTCCATCACAGTATCTACAAATTTGATATGTTAAATCCCAAGAATATCTGTATCTAAGGTATGCTGCTTTAAATCTTATGAAACATACGGTGCAACCATTTGAGCTGCTCCAAGAAATTCCTCTGGATCTTTGGCAGCAAACTGTACTACGAGAGGTCTATCATCGTTATCCGTAGTGAATTCATTATCACGAGCTTTGGCAGAGCGTACAAATGAATCTGCTAGGATCATCGGAGTGAAGCAAAGCTGACAATTATATTTCCTCACTAGTCTCCTGAAGTCGAGTCTGTAACATCCATACATTCTAAATATCTGTAGATAATAGGTTATATTCTGTGCATACTTGCTATAGCGAACCATGGGTGCACAAATTTTAGTCATTTCTGGCTGACGCAGTAATTCGACGATGTCAGTAGGCATCTTTTATGTTATTATCAATTTCCGTGATAAAATAAATGAAAACGTTTATTTAAAATAAATCATCCCCCAATGACACTTCACTGTCAGTTTGTCTACCCCGCTCGTGTCATGAAATTATGGAGTGTAATGCCATTCCTATATGGTATTACAAATTTCTGAATAGATGATACGAGGTACCATACATTGTAATAAAATCTATAAATTAAAATTAACATTTCAATACACAATAAATAGAACGATCAATGACTACGTTTCCACCAGTTTCCATTGAACAGGATTTGAGTAAGATCAACCAATCGTGTCAGTGTATTCTTTTCAAGTGTTGCACATGATTGGTTAATCCTATTCAAATCCTTTATGTATTTACAATGGAAATGTAGTCCATGGTCATATTGCAGAAATGGTATTGAGTGAACAAACATCTTCAAATGGTCAAATCTTATAATGTTGTAACATTCTCAATCAATGACCAATAAAATGCTCTTCCTCTGTGAGGGTGTCTATTGAACGCGACCAATAACTTCATTTCCGCCATGCATATATGATTTAAAGAGTGAACCAATCATTTTTGAATCGATCTTATTTTCACTATACACGAATTAAACAGAATTGACCCATTTACGTTAAAAATGAATTAAAAAAACGTGATTGGATAATCCTTTGTAGATCCTGTACGACGGATTCAATTGTCAAAAACTTAAACAATTATTGAACGTGTGAACTAGACACTACAATAACACAACTTATAACGCACAATGATAAATAAAACTCAAAATAATGATAAATAAAACTATAAATAATACAGTTATAAAATTCGGTAAGTATAACAATATCAAAGAACTATTTAAAAATTTGCAAACTTTACATAAGATGAAAAATCTCTAGATCTAAAAAAACACCTGCATTTCCTACAAGTGATTCATTGCGTTACCCTCGTTTAGTTTGCAGTTGCGCAATTCAACCTGCATGTTCGTAGACGTCGTGGAAATTGAATTGTTAATTGGATCGATAAATAACAGGGATGAGATTCATTTATAAAATAAATATCAAGGATAATAACATTTTATGATGATAAAAGGTTTTAAGATTACTCGCAATGCCTAGAGTCACTCGAAATACAGGATACTCAGTTTGAAAAAAGAAAAGAAACGCCCCCGGGTGGGCTCGAACCACCAACCTTTCGGTTAACAGCCGAACGCGCTAGCCCATTGCGCCACGGAGGCATGACGGTTTTAGAATCGAAATCTATAAATAACTCGAGAATCATAATGAATATCGTAATCATTCAAAAATTGATAATTTACTTAGAAATTAAAGCACCTTAATTAAGAAATTAAAAACACCTTTGATATATTTACTATAAAAAAGTCGAATTATAATACGATAAAGAAGAACTGTGCCGCAATTATCCTAATTTTTTTTATAAAAATAAGGATATATGTTAACCTACCAAAGCGATAATTCAGAATTAAATGACAATCTCTTATTCATGTCATCGTCATTAACCCCAAGTGCTGTAGCATTATTTTCAATAAGGGATGAATATCGATCGTAGTTGGTAATGTTGTCTGATAACCCTTTGGCCAATAAGCATCGACGAATAAAGCCGAACGAGCCGACGGTAGTGCAGTATAATTTTTTGGCGGGAATCTATCACCCCCCGTATTACTAGATAGTATATACTCCTTCACGAATACGTGTCCAATACACATGCATAAGGTACGAAAGCCTCTGTATCACCCCTGTAGACGTTAAATGTATAAATGTGGAATACGTTTAGCCCATCCACAGAATCATAGGGTTGAACTCTCCCTTAAAATGAAGTAACAAATAGGAATAGAGCGTTTCTCGGGCAATCGCGTCACACGACCTGCGAGTATAGTCGAAGTTTGACGAATAACAGCGAAGATGCACGAAGTCTGTCGTTTGAGGGAATACGAATCATTACGGAAATACACGAACTCAACCGAGGGTTTCCCTGGGGCAGGCGCTATGGTATAATAGCTATATACATAGCCTTATAGCATACACGTATTTGGCGGTCCGGAGCCAAGGAGGGGCATCACCAAAGTATAGTATACTCGCTATCGTGTGCAGAGAGAGTAGGGAGTAGTGGATCCAAGCAACCACAGAAGGAGCAAAAGAGCCGCGTGCTCGCTAGAGACAGAATCCGCAACGATAGTTGTAGCACGCACGGCGTCTCGGTGCCCCACGCCACGACGCGCGCACCCGTAGTAGAGAGCCGCCTTTGTCTCTTCTCTCTCCACACCACGAAAACCCGAGGTGAGTCCTACTGACGAAGATACATTACTGGTGATCGTGTAGTGTTTTTTCACTTGGATTTTCTCTCGTACGCGTAATATAATAACTGCAGTTCACGACGGTTCGGAATTGCGCGAGGGATAGGAGCCCGCGCGGCTCGCGCCATATTCAGGAAAAATCATTTAAGACTTTTTTCTCTCTTGCTCGTACTTTCTGTTTCACTCTCTCTTTTTTCCTCTCCGTGTCGCGCTGTTTCTTTTGGTTTATTCATTTCTTCTTGTACTCCTCGTCTATGTTGGTTATTCCTGTACGATGAGTGTTCGATGCTTTTTAGATTATCTCATCTACATACGATAGACGGGTAGCGTCACATCGGTACCGACATTGGCGGCCATTGGCGTCCCTGACACTGAAGGCATTTGTCTTGTTGGAGATTTTTCGATCTTGTTCATCTCTAATTTGTTTCCTGTGGGATTGAAGTTGGTGAATTTTTTATGTGATTTTATGGTGGCATTGATTTTGATTTTTTTTTTCTATACTTACTCTTACGCTTTTACATTTTATCATGTACGTTGTTGGGTTTGATTTATTCTACCGTGGGGGTTTTGTGACTTTTTGAAAATGGCGGGCTCGCTGGCGGGAATCGTCGTATTTTCTGGATTAGTCTGAAATCTTATGTTACATTTATAAAGTGGTGTATTCGTTTGTGCGTTTCTAGTGAATTTTATTGCTTATACCAAGTACGTCCTAAAATGCATAGTCGCTTATTCCCAACGATGCTCCGTAGCGTCGCATTCCATGATTGATACACCGCTTGTTGTTTTTTTCTCTCAGCATCATATTATTCCTGAGCTAACTTCGGATTGTTGTAATATCACGTTCGGTGCTGGTGAGTAAATTCGTTTTTACCATCCTATTATTTTTTAATTACCCTTGAATATAAATCTTTAATTTTGTTTTAAATAAGGCGGGCTTTGCCAACCGCTTGACTCGTCTCTGCTATTAATTCCAATTATTTATTCCTCCAAACCAAGGGACTCCATTCTGTAGCTTTTTATCCTCGATTTGTTTTTGTACTTCTTTGTTTTGAGAAATCCGGCTGAGAGCCTCGTGTGGCCCTTTTTTCTCCATGCGCGTCGTTGCATTCCGCGGGAGGGACGCGCACGAAGTTGTCGATGTACCATTTTCTTTTTTTCTTCTTTTTCTCAAACCGTCGACAAACTTCATAGCAGTTGGCAGTGCCGCCATTTGTGGAAAATCAATAGGGCGCTCTCTGTACGGGGTTTCGGACAACATATCGCCATAGTTGATCCGTGCTGAAATTATCGATCGAGGATGGAGGCGCGCAAATTGTTAGGGGGCATATTAACAAAATAAAAAATGGCTCTGAACCCCTCAGTTCGTAAGATTAATTAATTTTGTTTATCTTAAAGGGTACTGACGCCATTTTGGAAGCGCGCTCCTTGATTTTCAAAGCGATAAACTAAAAGAACTCACGTTTCAATGTTTATGATTCAGATATATATTACATACGTATAATGATCGTGCATTTCCATTGATTTTTTTTCTTTATATTTTACCTTCTAGTATATGCGTAAATTTCTTTACCGTCGTGAAATATAACAACAACCAAAGGAAGCTGCGCCACTTTTCCATTTTAAACGGAACCTTAAGTTCGCTCCATTAGAGAATATCGATTTTCGATAATCAGAACGTTCGTCTAGGGCCGACTGTACATATCATTTAATACGGTTAGTATACGCATCGATTTTGTATAAATCGCAGTAGTTGTTTGCAATAAATCAAGAACGGGAGAGTCGAAAGTAGTTGAAGATAGGCAGAGAGCGGCGCCATTTTTATATAATCAAACATGTCCGCGCACAGGCGGGAAAATTTAAAAAAATCGACAGAAAGCTCTTCACTGTTAAGTAACATAACGTTTGTCAATTTGATAAAAACAATATTCTCTTCTTTTTTTTTCAATAGAATTCTCACTTCAGTTTAACCATCTAAGATGTCGGACGACGGTTCGCCTGTGGTCGAAGACCAGAAGAAAAAGCGAGGACGACCAGCCAAGGCCGATAAGGGTGCCGTGAAGGAATCTAAGAAACGTGGAAGAGCATCCTCTGAGAAGAATAATGTGTCCCGTCCAATAAAGTCTGATAATGAGGACGACGCGCCACCTGTTCCAGTAAAGAGAGGTCGAGGTCGGCCCAAGGGTTCACATAAGAAGAAGGTTGGCAATTCACATAATTAAAATTAATTCAATGACTGCTGTCCCCGTCGTCTACATGGAAATAAAATTTCACCATATTTATCGTTCTTCCAATACAGCAAGGACCACCAAAGGGTACGGCACCTTCCACGGGTCGTGGCCGTGGACGGCCGAAGAAGGTCGAAGAGAAGCCTGAAAGTACCGGTGAGGAGGAGGACGAGCAGGAGGAAGAGGAGGAGGAGGAAGAAAACTGAAGACACTCCTTTGATCGTCGCCCTTAACCTCAAAAAACATCCCGAGAGACACGCACCTCTAAACGGCTCCCTTTTCTCTTTTTTTTTCTTTAATAAGTTTAATCTCTACCACGTACTGCGAGGCACCAGGCGCCCGGATACTGCGATTTGCGATTATCGCGGTATCAAGGCGTCTTTTTTCTTTGTAGGCCACGTGGAGGAAGGCAAGGATCAAGAATGAAATCCAACGAGCACAGGGAATAACTGGAAAAATCAAAAGATCAGAATACATTAAGAAAATTTTTGTACAATCACTCTGCACGGCAACAACAGTGATACATCAGGGTTGCTCTGCAGCGTTCACAGAATGAACATCTAGATGACTCTGAGTAGATATACTTACCGTTTACTCCTTTATTTCATATACAGGAGGACAAATCATCCGGAGTGCATTCAGGATGTTCATTCTTAACGTAATTTGAGCTACTGTCACCGAGAAGCGAACACTCCGTCTTAAAGGAATAAAGATACAAAGAGAGAGAGAGAGAGCACTCAATAATAATACAGATGGGAAGAGAAGGAGAGCACTGCCAGAGGGTGTGTAAACAACGCAATGGGAAAAATGAGGGTAAAAAAAAAGAGATGAAAAGAAAAGCCAAGAAAAGCTCTCACAGCAACTAATTGTATAAATCGTATTGTAATGTGTATAATTTTTTTGTACGTTTATTTTTGCGGAATCTCGACGCGGCGACTATTTTTGTTTCGCTCAGACACATGACACGATTGCGGGGCGCAAGGTGGGTGG